GTGACAACAACCGCGATGAAATCGGTCAAGTCACACACACACACACACACACACACACACACACACACACATACAGACGTACGGACATCATCGTAAAAAATAGTCAGGGAAGCTTCCTGTGACCTTCAAACGTCGAGATCTGATGAAAACTCGATTTTTGTAAAACGGGGTGAAAACAATAACTTCCCGATTTTTGAAAATCTGAGATTTTTAGCGGGAAGTTAAAAATCATAAATTCAAGTAAAGACCTTTGCAATGACACTAAATTTCACAAAAAAAAAACCGATTTTATCATATGACTATCATGGAGACAAAATTTTTCTTATTCTCTTCATAATATAGATTGATTATAACTTTTTTTTGTCTTAAATTAATCTTAACTAAGCTAAAAAAAGTTAAATTTTGAATACCGATTCAGATAGGAAATAATATTTTGCTTCAATCCCCGCCTTTAAATTTACATCCTCAAAAACTCAAAAAACACTTCAAAAATTCCCTTGTCTTACCCACCAAAACAATTCCAAATCAAAATTATTTTTTCATCACCCCAAATTATAATATCGCTCATCAAAACATCAAAACCTCTTAAAATTCATGAAATCAACAATTTTACATCAATCCGTTCTATTTATAGTCCAATAAAAATTTAATTTATCCATTCATTAAGCACAATTGCTTCCCACAAACAATTTAATATTTCTCTTATATTAAAATTATTTCTTTTCTCAACTGCTCTCAAGGCAATTTCATTCTTTGTCTGCATTCTAAGTATAAGTTTTCAATAATTTAATCCGAGGATCAAAAGAACCGCAATTAAATTCTTTATTAAAAAAATAATCGAGAAAAATTTTAGAGGGTCAAGAGAGTCAAGACAAATCAAACTATATATATAATATATATAAACAGTCTGAGTTTTCATATCGCAAGCTACACCCTGTATACGGTGTTAAGCTCCGCCCGTTTACGCTTTCAAAAGCCGTTGTGTTGTATATACATACTGGAGGACTTCTCCGTCCTGTTATCTCTCTTCCCCTCAATATATATAAATATATATCTGTATATATATATATATATACCGTTGGCATCCACGGCATTCCAATTAGCTCGCGAATCAAAAGAGCCCCACTGCCTTTGTGGGGTAACTCACCCTCCCGCTCTTCATGTATATATATATATACATATAGTATTTGCTTTGCCGCGTATATATACTTGTAAAGCCAATATTTAATTTTATCTTTGTTTTATCAACATTGAATCAAAACTTTACCATTTTCTGCTGTTGAAAATTTTCATGGTGATTTTACAAAATTTAAAAAAATGTGAGAAATATATTAAAAATATCGAATATAAAAATATTAAAGGTTTGAATAATCAATAATAATTATTGTACATATAATATATTTTATTTTCATATTTTTACACCATTAATTATATAATTTGTCTTTGTAGTATATACAGTGATCGATTAAAAAAACAGTTGGTCTTTGGTAATTGTTGCTTAACTATAATTACTTCTGCGTGGATATTTTTAGAGACATTCAGTTAGATTTTTTTATTTTATTACTATGGTAGACTTTTGATTTATCGAGGCTTGAAGCAAAAAATGAGGAATTTTTTGGAGACATAATTTTACCTCATATTCTGTAATAATTAAAATTTTAACCTTTTAGTTAATATTTTTCCCGGTAGATGACGTAAATAACTATTATTCTCGCAAGTACTCTACCGACGGAAAGTTTCCGGACAAGCTTTTTGTTTACTTTTTAATTTAAATATGATACATTAACACATTAACTTGATATATAAAGAAAATGCTATGTTACTTTACAAAGTGTGTACGATCGTATCATTGTCTTTCTTCTTGATTTATTTTACTTCTAATAATTGTTTTAATAAATTTTCATCTTGTCCAGAAACTATCTGTCGGCACTGTATATCCATCAAAAAACCAAAAAAATAAAAATTACTGTTCTAAATGTTTTTTAGAAGCTCATAATTAATCTGTTCAGTGAATTTTAGTCACAAGTACAGTATTTCGTGACTCAAAATCAATTGTTTTTTTTTTAACTTCATTTTTTCCTTTCAATCACTAAAATATTGTGTACTCTACCTCAAAATCCATTATAATTAAAATTTCAGCATTTTAGTTATTATTTTTTCCGATAGATGGCGCGGCTAGCTGTTATTCTCGCAAGTAAATCGGTAGAAAAATAATATTAATCAAAATTCAGTAGAAAGCCTTCAATTTCAAAAAAATCAATTTTGAGCCATTTTTCAACTCAAAATCCCTAAAACTAATTTTTTTCTTAAGTCAACAACGAAAAAATTGATTTTTCTTATTTATTAATTTATTAAGAATTGAATAATTAAATTCCAAAAAAATATTTAACCCCACTTCTGTTATAAACCTTGATAAATCACATTTTTTCCATATATTATATCATATATACACTTAAAGTTAATATCATACTCATAAGTATTACAAAAATATATATATTAAAAATTCGATGGATATAAATACGAATTTTTGTACACTATACTCAAAATCTCAGTCTATAATAAAAAACCAAAATTTCCCCCTCTCTAAATCAAAACTCGGCTTCCATTCTTCGGAAATACAGAAACAAATTCAACAATCAAATATTATCTCACAACATATATAATATAATAATATATATTTATATGTATATATCTATTTACATCATACATAACACATAATCCTATAAACAGACGAATAATGTACACAGATATCAAGCGTCAATAATCGAAGGTTTACGCGAGACTATCAGCGAATTAACTTATTAAATTCCATCTAACCCCCCTTCACCTACCAGAAGTATATACATCGATTATTGATTTTTAACTATCAATAGTCTATTTAAAATTTCCGTAAAAAAAATTCCACAGCCATTTGGGCGCAAGTTTTATACAGTGACTTAGAAACTTCAAACAATCACAGTTCGTCAAAATTTGATCAGCCCATTGCACTTAAAAAAACCAAAACAAAAATTCTCTTATAGAGAAATTGCATCAATTTTTAATCACTAAAAATGAATATATGAATAAAATGATTATTTATTTAAAGAATTTTCTCATAATTTTTTGATTAAAAATTATATTTTTTAAATTAATTAACTCATTTTGCCGACAAATAAAACATATATTACAAAATAGCCGTTTATTTCTTTATTTAAGAAGACAACTGAAACATGGATATAGTTTTAAAACTCTCTGCAAGATTATGTTGCGCACCGGATATATTTGAATGAAAAAAATTAATTAATTCAAAATTACCTGGACAAAAAAATTATTTAAATATTTTTCCTTCGTTTTGTCTTAAGGAGGTTCGAGCGTAACTTATGAGTCAAAATAATGTTAAAATTTTTTTTACTTTTAGTATTCCCAATATTCGTCAAAATTTTATATTTTAATTCAAAATAATTTGAACAATTCAATAATTGATGATTTTTACTTATTTAATAAAATAAAGTAATAAAAGGACTTTCGTATTTATTACTTGCCAGATTAAATAAACAGATTTGGCAACAGCGCGTTTGATTATACCCATTCCAGAGACGTGTATGAGGTAATATTTCTCTTTCTGTAACTATATGTCTATCCTTCTCTTTCTTCTCAGCTGTTGACGCGACGTTGCCAAATCTTTATTCGAATAAATAGCTGACGATAAACGGGTTAAAAACATAAAATTTAACTTTGAATATTTCAAAAATTATATCGGTAATGTATTATTATTAAATTTTTTTTATATTTTACAATAATCCAAGTTTCTTGTGTATAGTTTTTTATTCGTTAAAGTTGGAAGGTTAATATTGAAAAAAATAATTAAAGTCTCGACCAAAGGTTGTCCGCCATAAGAGCCCGTGTATAAGGAAATAAAAAATGTGATTTTTGAAATTGAATATCTAAGTAACTAAACGGTGAATCTTTTTAAAATTTTGGGATTAGATAAATGACGTATTTATTTATACGTATGCTTAATTTCAAAGGTCAAAGTTGGAAATTATTTTTCACATTAGATTCGCTCGAACCTCCATATAATAACTTCAACTAAACTTTTTAAAAAATGCAACTTTTCTATTTAAAAATTAAAAGTTCCCGCGCAAAATTTTTGCAGTCTGTTAAAGTATTATTAAAAAAAAATCCAAGGTTCGTTCGATCGTTTAAAATAACCTTATTTACACCTGCATAATGCCGGAAAAAAATCAGGTTGGTGTGTGAGGTTATAATTGTCCTTCTCACCATTCACCAGGTTCCGGTTCCTTGCAATCGTCATCCTCTAAAGACGACAGCGACCTCTGTCTCAGTTCGTTGACCCGCTGGGTCTGCTGTTCGTGGTGAACTTTTCGCCATTTTATCCGCCGGTTCTGAAACCAGACCTTCACCTGCGCCTCGGTCAGCCGCAAGGAATGGGCCAGGTACAGTCTTTCCGGTCCTACCATGTACTGGGTTCTGGCGAACTCGCCTTCCAGCCGTTCCAATTGTTCCGCGGTGAAGATTGTACGAACGCGCTTCGTTTTTCCCGGATTGGCCATGTTCAGGTCAGTGACCACTCGCGAACAGGATGACACGGGGCTGGTTTTCAGTTCCTGGTGACCTGGAAAGAGAAATTGAGTGATCATATCAGTAAAATTTATTCTTTTTGTAGAAACATCTTTTAAATTGGATAGTTTTAAGATGATTTATATTAAGTTGAATTTGTTTAAATTATTTTATAACAAATGATTGTGGTTATTGCAGTGAACGATAATATCGCATTAGAATTCAAATTGGACATTGAGCATTAACATTTTGACGCTGCATTGACGCTCAAAATTAAGGGGCACAACCAGTGTGAAATTTTCAAAAAATCAATTTTTTTTTGTTTCAAATTTGTTTCAAATTTTGATGGGTTATACCTTTAAAGATAACATATTAAAATTTCAAATCAATATCTCAAATAGTTTTTGAGTTACAGACATTTAAAGAGTAGCCGCTCGGCAGTTAAAATAGGATTATTTTATCTTTAAACACGTTTATCTCAAACCAGCATTTTTCAAATTCATTGGAGTGATTACTCGAAGACAAATGATCCGATCACTACCATTTTTTTTCTGCATGTTCCGTATATAATTCTCCATACAATGACCCTCGAGTTTTTTGATCTGATCAAAAATCGAATTTTGGCAGGCCAAAAACGACCAAAATTTTGGGTAAAATTCAATTTTTCTTTTTAAGATGCCGCCATTTTGTCAATTTTTGATATTTTTTTTCGACCGAGAGTCATTGTACGGACAATATCTTCTAGTTTAACGAGATTTTTTTTTTGTTTCGGTTTCATCCATGGAGAAGGCCGGAATCACTCCAACAGTGGAGGACCTTTTTTTTTAGCACCGTCGGAGATCACGTATAACTCGGAAATATTTAATTTTTTTTTTCAAAAATTTTACTATATATTCTTAAAATATGTATTAATATACCCTTAGAATTTTAAAACAATTCATACAGAAGTTGTTTTTATTTTAATTCCCAAAAATCGCCTTTTTTTAGGCTGTCACAGTGGTTGTGCCCCTTAATGTCTACACTATTTTTTCTCAAATTTTTCAATTATCCTTCAAAAATCCAAATGTGCAAGCCTTAAGCACTCATGTTTTACATAAAATTAAATATTTGCTTACTCATTTTTAATTTTCCACGTACATTAATTATTTATGATGCGAATAAAACGCCTTCACGTGTTCTGTTATATCAACTACTTGCAAGTCGATATGCATACATACAATGTCTTGGTCGCAGAGTCACTGTGAGAACTCTGTTTACTAAAAAAATAAACATATGGTCGACCAAACTGAGAAAATTCGATGTGAATGTCAATCAAAATGTTTCAATTACAATTAAACGAAGCAATATCAAGCTTTGATATTGAATAGAGTTCTTCATTAAAGTTTAATGACAGGGCTCAAAAAAAAGTAAGTCTTAAAATTATATATATATTTTTAGTTATCTTGACCACACCACCATATTTTGACAGTTGTTTCCACTATAAGTTTTAAAAAATGATTTTTTTCTCTGAAACTGATCATTAATTTATCAAGCAGTGTTTTTAATTAGTTCAGTAATCATTCTTTTTGTCACTAGTGTATTCTTTTTAAACATATGTACGAGGATTATGGATTAAAAATACAATTTCTCTTGACGAGATAGGAAACTTGATTTTTAGGCTCCAGTATAGAGCTATGCCTTCTCGCGATTGCGCTTATGACTTGCAAAATTACAATTAAAAGTGTCTTACTTCCTCAACTGACATTTCGATACTCAAAATTAATTTAGCGCTTAGTTAACCTTTCATTTTAATGACATTTCTTAATGATATCACGTTAAAATTTCAATTTAAAGGACTTTTAATCATTCATTAATATTTTAGGCTGCACAAGATCGAAAAAAAAAAAATTTTAACATTTAACTTGGACATTTGAAATTAACTATAGTATGAAAATCACCCCTCTGGTTATTCACAGAGCTCGAATAAATACAGCGTAGTTAATGTGACCAACTGACGCATAATTAAATTAATTAAACAAACGTTGCATAAAGAATCCTACAATTCAGTTCAATCACGGTAATTATTGGATAACTGATCAGTGATCGGTGACAGGTAACTTGATACTCATCAAGTGATATCGATTCGGTTTGAGTGGGCGTCAATTAGTTCTATTGAACCAGTGCTTCCTATTGTGTGATGATGTCTAATGACCGTTTATCTTAGAATTTGATGTCAATGCAACGAAACATGTCATTCGGCCTTTCAGAAATTCGTAGTCTAAAAGGTATTAATTTTGAAAATTCATTTAAGATTTGCTGAAGACTAAAAAAGAATAAAATTATCCAAAGTGTAGAAAGTCAATTGATAAGTTTGATTGTCAGCCAAAAGATGGAACTAATTAGAAAACATTTTTGGAACGTTCATAACTGATGAAAAAAATACTTGATCTAGCTTAATTTTGGTCCAAAATGGGGTTGACCCCATTTGTAAATAATTACTAAAAATTTCTACGTTCTTTTGGCTTTATATCATTAAATTTTAAAATTCTTAAACCCAAAACGGGCGTACATTTTTATAGATACGCCCTTTTGGCTTTATAAATTTTTTTTTCATTTTTAAGCTTTGAATTTGCTTGCAAAGATTGGCAACAATAAATTTTTTACGCCCTTTTGGTTGTAGATCACTAAATTTTAATATTCGTAAATCCAAAACTAGCGTAGAATTTTAGACATACGCTTTTTTGGCTTATAAAAATTTGTCACGCGATATATTTCAATTATTTTAACCCTGGTCATGAAGAAAAGTCCTGTCAAAATCACAGTAAAAACGGTTAAATTGATAATTTTATTCCTGTCGAGACCACGATTATTGAATTTACATTTTTGGAAATGTAATTTTTATATGATAAAAACTGTTAATGTTACAATGTTAATTGTACATTTTTTAAAAAAGTCATTTTTACTTGATCTAACTTCAAAAGAAGGAAGACATTCTTTCATTTTTTGATAACCTGTTTTGGAAAACTCAAGCAAAGTTTTGAAATTCTTAAACAATTTTTGATAAAAATATTTGAAAGGGAATCTTTTTGATGATTGAAGCTATTTTAATAAAATTTGAAGCGTCCGACGGACCAAGCTCGATGATTTCTTAAAATTCCACTTTAACAAACATACAATTATTTTTTACCAAAAATCATACTTTTTATAATCGTCCAAAATTCTAAACTTGAACCATATAAAATTTAAAGAAAATAAAAGCTTAGCGAGAAGACAAAAAGAAACAAACTGAAAACAATTCCGAATTGATCAAAATTTACAAATTAAAACTTAAAAAAAAATTGTTATGATTCAAGACGTAGAAATTTTTCAAAATCAATCCTAGATTTTTTTGATCATCTACGGAGGATAGAATTCTAGCTAATTAGTTAAAGATACATAGAAATCGATAAGAACATTTTTATAGAGGATTATATTTCCTATATAAAAGGTTGATTATGATTTTTTTTGTATTTCCAATATTTAACCCAGGATTTTAAGTTAATGATTCTTTCCAAATTTTATCAATCGGAACTCTAAAAATTTTGAACTACTAAAACTTTGAACCAAATTCCTGAATCGAAGGTAAAAGATACCCGAAAATTGACAATTACTTTTCTAACAGAGGATCAAATTTGCTACAAACAAAGTTTCATAATTTTTCCGTATCTCCAATCCTCGACCCAGAAATCACAGTTCCTTTCATCAAGTTTCCAAACCACAAAAAATCTACTTAAAACATCTTAAATCAAAACCAAAATTGCATTGAAACTCCAACAAAATCAACCAATTCGTGTCAATCAAACCAAAAATCAGTAACTCCAGGCATTAAACCAAAACACAAAACTTACACTCTTGCCTGGAAAGTTTTCTGTTCCCAACAGCGCACCTCTGGTACTTTTCCCGCTGGCTATTTTTCCCCAGAATAGCATCAATAGTAAAGGAAGTCGTCTGCTGCTGCTGAGGCTGGTGATGAATGACCATCCTGTTAGGCAAGGACACGTTCTGTCCGAAATCAATAGCCCCCAGAAGCTGTCTTCTCTCAGTACTATGTTCATTAGGAGCTCGCTGAACTCCCAATCCGTTCCTGAACTCACAAGCTGAGCCGTCCATGATCCTGGTTCCTAGATGTCCGACACCCATCATGCCTTGGTGGTCCACCAACCCAAACTCCTTCATCATGTAGTTTTTGGTCAGTCCAAGCTCCTTGAACTCTCCAGCAAGCTTCTGTCTCCTGGTCCTGGTGGTTCCGTACTCCTTGTCCAGGTCCGGATGATCACTTAGCACGTGAGCCCGCTCAAACTGGAAGTTCTTGGGCTTCAACAGCGACAGGTCGCGGCCAAAGTGGTCGAATTGATGGTGGGGTGGATGGTGTTGGTGGTGTTGATGACCAGGACCATGACTTTGTATGGTTCTAGGCTGGAGATCAACTGGTCTAGGATTCGGATGATCAGCAGGTTCCTTCTCGAGGACCCTGACACCTGGATTAACCTTCCGACAGACTGACAAGTTCAAACCGGTCAACGATTTCGGGTCACTTGAACTGTAGCTGATCAGGTTAGAGTCAAAGTGGCTGCTTTCGCTTGGGTCTGAAGAGTCCTCGTAGGTCTGAGCTGATGGATCGCAGCTCTCCATCATCAAGCAGAATTTGGTACCATCCAGGACATCAGCTCAAGACCATCCAACGGCTAAATGATTGGTGATTGATGATTGATGGATTTTATCACTCGCGATAATGATGTCGAATCACTGCACTGCTCCGCACTAAGGATAAACGTCTAATGATCCTTCCGTGAGGTGACTACCACGGTTCCAGTGGGGTCGGGGGGGTCTAACACAACTACCGTTCCCCCTACCACTACCACTGGGAAGAAAAGGGGGGATGGCGCCCCCTTCCACGGCCTCAAATGGACCGCACGGATATTTGTGCGGTCAATATTTTTTCCGTATTACGGCGCTTAAGGATGCGCAACGTCACCGCTTATTGGATGGTGTCTATCTGGAGCCACGCCTACGACCAGGGACCAAGCTTCGGATTCTTTGCGAGACCTAGAGTTGTGTTTATGTTGGGGTTTTTATTGTTATTAGAGATTTAATAATGGAATAATTTTTTTTTTTATGGAGAAAATTGGGATTCTTAGGTGGAAATTTTTGAAAGGCGGATTTTTTATTTGGGTGGTGATACATTAGTTTATGAGACGTGGAAGATAATTGAGTGGGTTTAATATCAGCCGCAAGTATAGTTTAAGATTAGGTTCTCATGTCAAAAGTTGACGGCATAATTTCCTCATTATACCAAGACGGAATTTATACTTGATAACCTCTAAGAAGCTTCCCTAAAGTACCGGCTTAATTATTCCCAACATACCGCTAATCTAGGCGAACGGAGATTGAAAAAGGGTAATTTGGTTTGTTATTAGATGAAAAAGAGAGAGGAATTTTGGAAAATTTGAACTTATAGAGATTTTGAGAATTGTAATATGAAAAAATTATGTTACTTAGAGTTATCTTGAGTAATTATGATGATTTTGAAGATTGATAAGAATCTTTTTTATAGATGATTAAATGTGCTACAAAAGGCTCTTATATGATATTTTTGGATCTTAAATATTTAACTCTGAATTTTGGGGTTCTGGGCGACTTAAAAATTTTGTGATGACTATAATTGTGATAACTTATTAGTCGATTAACTTGATTTATGATAATATTACTCCATATCTTGGTCTCTGGATTCGTGCAAAAAATTGGAACTCAAATACTATTTTAAAAATTAAAATTAATAATTAGAATTTTTATAAATTTGGTGCGATAAGTTATTGAAAGTTTGAATCAAAATTTTGGCTAAAGGATAAAAGATATTGAAAAGTTGATAAGAATTTTTTTTATAGAAAATTGAATTTTTTACAAAAATAGATTCTTATTATTTTTTCATATTTTTAATATATGACCCAAAATTTTGAACTCTAAATTTTAATCACAGACAATTGGACATAGAAAATCTTTAAATTGAAATTTAGATTGAAGAATTTTCGATACAGAAAAATTGATAAGGACCTTTTTTGTACAAAATTAAATTTTCTACAAAAAAAGGTCTTTTATAATTTTTTCTTATCTCCAATATTTAATACAGAAATTGAATTTTTTTCGCTCCCGCGGTTTGGGTTGTGCCACGATTTTGCAATGACAATAACTCGGAGACTACTTGACCGATTTATTTGATCTTTGGTAACTTAACGACAAATATTGGCCCCTAGATCCCTGCGAAAAATCAGGTTAAAAATCTTATCCGTTTAGATGAATCTTAATTACTCCGTTTGTAAGTTTAACCCGGAATAAAAGTATACCTATAATTAATTACCCTTGTATAAAATACTTGGATGAAAAATTTTGCCGTGATAAATTTCCGAGACGTAATAAGGGTGGCTCGAGTCATTTGCCGGGGACGGTTACTGTAGATATTGAGCTTCAATAGAAATTCTTTAAGCCTTATAAAGACTTTATATATATTGTCGGAACGGTAAGCGAATTCAGTTATTTAATTTAAACATTTGTCCGTTTTAGCAATATTGCCTGGTTGTTTTATTGCGCTCCAGCTTTCTACTTCCCTTTCTGAATCTTGAGCAATAAATATACAATTATTATTCTAAATATAAATAATAAAGATACCGAGGGTTGAATACAATATCCTCCGACAATAAGGAAGAAAGAGGAAAAGTTTAAAGTTTATTGCAGAACTTGTTCTATAACCAAAGTAATATATATAATACGTCAAAATTTTATTAATCTGTGACGTAATTGCTCTCAAGATATATCTGTATGTTTCAACGCTAAATCCTTTGTAGACATTCCTCTATAGTTATATTAGTTAGATATATGTATCCAAGGCTAAATTTAATCCTCAAAGTAAATTTTCAAATTTATAGCTTAATCTTGACTTCATAATAGTCTTGAGGTTTTGTAACTTTACCTTTATCAAGAGCTTATACCTACATCATACAGTTTAATAAATGGATGAGAAATTATTTGAAGTTTTAAGTTTCTTCATAAAAGTACGTAGTAATTAAGATTTATTTAACAAATTGGATTTTTGAGCTGATTTTTTGGAGAGACCTAGGGGCCACTATTTGTCATTAACTTGCCAAAGATCAAATAAATCGGTCAAGTAGTCTCCGAGTTATAGTCATTGCAAAAACGCGGCACAACCCAAACCGCGGAAGCGAGAAAATTTCTATTTCAATTTCTGTGTTAAATATTGGAGGTACGAAAAAATGATAAGAGACCTTTTTTGTAGAAAATTTAATTTTGTAAAAAAAGGTCCTTATCAATTTTTCTGCATCTCAAATTCTTCAGTCCGAATTCCAATTTAAAGTTTTTTTTATCCCCAATTATCTGTGATTAAAATTTAGAGTTCAAAATTTTGAGTCAAATATTAAAAATATGATAAATTGTAAGAATCTATTTTCGTAAAAAATTCAATTTTCTATAAAAAAAAAAAATTCTTATCCGTTTTTCAGTATCCCTTATCTTTTGGCCAAAATTTTGATTCAAACTTTAAATAACTTATCGCACAAAATTTATAAAAATTCTAATTATGAATTAAAATTTTTAAAATAGTATTTGAGTTCCAAATTTTTGCACGAACCCAGAGACCAATATATTAAGTAATATTATCATAAATCAAGTTAATCGACTAATAAATTCAGAATTATAGTCATCACAAAATTTTTAAGTCGCCCAGAACCCCAAAATTCAGAGTTAAATATTTGAGATCCAAAAATATCATGAGCCTTTTGTAGTACATTTAATCATCTATAAAAAAAATTCTTATCAATCTTCAAAATTATCATAATTACTCAAGATAACCCTAAGTAATACAATTTTTCCTATTGCAATTCTCAAAATCTCTAAAAGTTCAAATTTCCCAAAACTCTTCTCCCTTTTCCATTTAATGACAAACCAAATTACCCTTTTCCAATCTCCGTTTACCTAAATTAGCGATATGTTGAGAATAATTAAGCCGGTACTTTAGTTTAGGGAAGCTTCGTAGAGGTTATCAAAGATCTTTTTTTTTGTAAAAAATTCAATTTTCTATAAAAAAAATTCTTATCAGTTTTTCTGTCTCTAATTCTTCAGTCCGAATTCCAATTTAAAGTTCTTTTATTCCCAATTGTCTGTGATCAAAATTTAGTCTAAAATTTTTGGGTCAAATATCAAAAATGTGAAAAAATCATAATCAATATTTTTTAAATAAAATTCAATTTTCTACAAAAAAGATTCTTATCAATTTTTCTGTATCTCTAACCCTTCAACCAAAATTCTAATTCTAATTATTTTTTTTCAACTATCTATCTTAAAAAAAAATCAAAACTACTTTCTTCAAATCAATTAATAAATGTAATTCAGCGGAAAATTTTCAACTTTTTATCCCCAGAAATCCTAAAAAGCTCTGAAAAGTGAACATCTCTAAACTAATATCCCAATTTTATCCCAAGAATGTCGGGTATGAATAGACGCGTTAGTTTTGTAGTAATTTAGCATGAGATGTATATTGAAACAGAAGCAATTATAATCCTCGGATCGCGAGAGGAGGTCGGGGAGGACATAAAGGAACTGAAGGGAGTAATATAAAGTAAGCTAAGCAAGAGAGCTCCGGCATTTTACGGGGATCCCCAGGAGCAGGATCTGAAACAGGGTGGGGATCACTCGAGTATGATTGGTTGTCATGGAATTAATCCTGGCAGGAGCCACACCCCGGTAAATGGCTCAATCTACCCTCAATTGCGTCTGTGTGCACGCATTCATGAAGATTGCAGGTACGTTCCAACGTATGCCTCCACGATAATCCGGATTCTTATGTATCTATGCACAGGTTAATTTCCTCAAATTAACCCGTTGATAGAAATACAACAAGTTAGATTCTAATTTCTATTTCAATTGATTTCTTATTCCGGTTTTTTCGTCTTCAAATTCGCTATTTTCAATCACAACGATTGAAGATACAAAAAACTGTATGAGACATTTTTTGTTCAAAATTCTCTATAAAAAAGGTTTCTTTCAAATTTTCTACATCTCTTATCTTTAAGCCAGAATTTTGATTCAACAGTTGAAAAAAACTTTTTTTTAGTTGTAAAAATTCAAGTATTATTTATCGAAACTACTTTTCCGTAGCTCGTACCGCTTACCCACGATTTGAATTTGAAAATCGAAAATAAAAATATTTATAGTCGGGAAATCCAATAATTAGATTTCTATAAAATCTATAAAAATAATTTTGATTTTTCTTGTATAACTTGGGTAATTATCAAAATTTCAAAAAATTGATTAGGACTTTTCTTATAGAAAATCAAATTTCCTACAAAAAAAGTTTCATATTGTTTTTTCGTATTTTCAATATTGGACGTGAAATTTCAAATTCAAATTTTTTATCACAAACAATTGAATAAAAGCAAGTTTATAATTTGAAATTCTACTCACAAAACTGAAGATACGAAAAAATTGAAAAGGACCTTTTTTGTAGAGAGTACCCCAGGTAGCATGTGCTTGAGCAAGACTTAAGTGCCAGTGTTTTGAGCAAAACCCCTAGTTACTATAGTCTCTTTTTCTACATAAGGGTCTTGCTCAAGTTCATGTAGAAAGTTCATTTCTAAAGCATTTGTCAACCAAAAACTAACAGCAAATGTTGAAGCGTGACTTGCTTAAGATGGATGATGCATTATATATTTTATAGCACTTTTTTCCCTCCACTACTTGAAGATGTATTGATTCAGTGGTGCTCATTTTAAAACAATTTTGTCTTGATCGATAATAAAACAGTAGATCTATTCTCTAAAAGGTTAAGCTGAATGAGATCCACTGATCCTATAGTAATTATAGGAAGGATAGAATGATGCGAACGGTCATTCGAAAACATCTTGAGCAAGTTTTGCACAAGTATATTCAGCATGCTTCTGGTGTCAGTTTTTCTCAAGAATTGATAGAGTTAGTTTATCAATAAGCATCTTTAGATTTTCTCAATTTTCTTACACAATTTTTGAGCTATAATCTGACCCAAAATTCTTGTACAAGGCTTGTTCAAGACTTGTCAATTGAATTTGCTACAAGAATCTGGAGCAAGACCCATAGGTAGAAAAAGACATTAACAACTATCGAAATTGAGACCAGATTTGCTCAAGCCTTGAAAAAGATTGCTGTAATTTTTAATTGATAAATCGCAATTTAAATTTCTTCCGCGGTTTGGATCATGCGGTTTTATTTCAAATTGGTCATAAAAAATCTCCAAATTTGAACAGATCGATTTAATGCAATAACGTGATAACCTTCCGTCAATTGATAACAAAACCCAATTGTTATTCTTATCTCAAAATTATTTGTTCATGATTAAGATTGACATTCTGGTTAATAACAACTCTAAATTGTTTGCAAACCAATCAACTGTTGGTTTGTCTTTTTTGCGAAATAATTAGTGCAAATAATTCATGTTTGTCTAAAAATTGTCCACGATCGAGTCCCTGACTGTAGCTTCTATTTACTCAGTCGCAAACAGTATTTGAGTCAGTGATTGTAATTATCAGTTAAACCGAAAGAAGAAATGTCAAAACTGCTGGTGTTGATTTTGGCTTTAGTCGTTTTTATTTTAGCCCCTCAAGCTTTATCTAAAGTTTTAGACTGCGGGTATGATGACGACGGTGTAAGTTTGTGTTTAAAATTTTGAAGTAATTGTGCCATCAAAAAAATTTTTTGAAAATTTATTCAAAATTTTTTTCAATCTTGCTCAATCAGATTTAAAAGTCAATTTTATGGGTTAAGGATTGAAGATATGAAAAAATGAATTGAGACCTTTTATGTAGGAAATTTGATCCGAAAATTGAACTGAAAAAATTGATAAGGACTTTTTTTTGTAGAGGATTACATTTCCTACAAAAAAGGTTTCTTATGATTTTTTTATATCTCCAATATTTAGCTCAGAATTTTGAGTTGAGAAGATTTTTTTTGAATTTTTGAGATTTGAACAACTGAAAATTTTGACTTATTTGAACTTAAAATCAAAATTTTGGCTGAAAGGTTAGAGATATAGGACAATCGATAAGACTTTTTTTTGTACAGAATTAAATTTCATACAAAAAAAGGTTTCTTATAATTTCTTATTACAATAATTAACCCAGAATTTGATACTAATTTTTTTTAGAAAGTTGTTCTAATAATTTTTAATTAATTGAGAATAAAATAAAAATAGTTGTTTATAATTTTTTCTTCGGGGTTTTTAGTGCTGGTTCGATCATGACTGCTGCAAGCCCTTAAAATGTGGATATCCTGATGAGTTCTCGCCGTTCGGGTTATGTTATAGAGAAGAAAATCTCTTCTTCCAGTAATTTTTTTCACAAATATTGTCAAATTTTATCTCAATTAGTATTATGTTGTTTTAATAAAAAAAGTAATTTTAAATATTGTTTTTAATAATTCGAAACTAAAATTTTTTTTAATTATACAAAATTTTCTTTTATTTTATATTTTATAAAAATTCTAAAATTGTTATAAAATTTTATTTAATATTAAATTTCATCAATTTTTAAAAACCAACTAATCAAACTTATAAAATTAAACATTTTAGATAAATTTATTAAAATTATACAAAACTGAATAGTTAATATTAATATTGATAAGGACAATTTTAATAGAGAATCAAATTACCTACAAAAAGATCTCTTATCATTTTTTCATATATCTAATCCTCAGCTCAGAATTTCAAGTTAGAGATTATTTCCAAATTTTAGAAACTTGCTCTAAAAATTAATTAATTATTAACAAGTGGGCTTAACCTCATTTTGGGCCATAACTTGGTGAAAAATTAACATTTTCAAATTTATTTTTTTATTCGGCTTGTTTTTACGGCGCATTTATAATAAGAAATGTCGTGAAAGAAAAAAATAAAGATTTCGGCTTTCATATTTTTGGATAAAATTTCTATTTCATCTTTTTTTTTTTTTTGAAAAGTACATAAAAAACGAACAATTAAAAAAAAATTGTTCAATTTGATGAAAAAAAAAAAAAAATTAACATGGCTCAACATGGGTTGACCCCAGTTGAAAATAATTACCAAAATTTTGAACTATCAAAACTTTGAATCTAAAATTTCTGCGTAAAGATTAGAGATATCAAAAAATCAATAACAAACTTTCTTGTAATTTATAAAATTTCCTACAAAAAAAGATCTCTTATCATTTTTCCGTATCTCTAATCCTCAACCCACAAATCTCAATTAAAATATCTCCCCCTTATTTTTAGATAGCTCATAAAAAAAAATTAATATATTTAAAAAAATTATTTATTTAATTACAATTATTTTCAATAAAAATTTTCACTCAGAGTCACTCGAAAATTCAGCATCGTCATCTTCAGACAGTTCTTGGTCGCTCATATCACTCAGGCTAACAAATTCTCCATTCTGGTCGTCCTCTAACTCGCCTGGTGAGTCACTATCACTGTCATCCATTTTCTTTTTCTTCTTTTCTGGCTTATCATCTTCATCTTCCTCATCATCATCATCATTATCATCATCAGAGAACAATTGGATCTTCTTGCCTCCCTTGTCTTGACCAGCAACATGAATATCTTCCAACCCATCAGCATCATCAATATCATCAGCATCATCATCAAAATCATCATAATTCTTTTCTTCCTCCCTCCTGACTTCTTCCTCAATCCATCCCTTGGTCGTCTTCTTGTTCTTCTTCATCTGCCTCTTGCTTCCGGGCTGAGGCAAGTTGAACTTCCTGACGTTCTCCTCGCTGATCTTCTTCTTGGTGACCTCCAGAGGCTCCGGGTCGTCCAGCACAATCTCTCCTTTCTTCACCAGGTACTCCGCGTATTGCTCGGGAACTCCTTTGAAGACATTGATCTGCTTCCTGATCTGCCTCCAGGTCAACTGGTAGTAGTTTTTCTTGTCTCTGGCCATCGCCTCGTAGTCCTCGCCGTACTTGTCCATCATGTAGGTCACGAAAATTACCTGGTTCTGCGGAACGCGGAATTTGCGCTCCCTCGGGGCACGCGCCTCCGCTTCCAGTTCCATCGCTACATTTTTTTTAATTTTTTTATCCGGTTTTTTAGATTTTGGTCTGTCTTTTTGGATTTCTTCTTCTTCTTCTTCAGGGGATTCCAAGGACTTTACGGCTTTGATTATTTGGGTTTTATTACTGGGTACTTTGAATAATTGATTTGCGTCGTAGGCGAGACCCATTTGTGATAAGTTTCGGCGGATTGATTTTTTATCTTCCCAGGCATTTTTTATTTGATCACTGAAAAATTTATTTTTATTTATAAAAAATTAATAATAATAATAATAATTAAATCGGATCGGGTAAGTTGGCTTAAAATAATAAATGCTCTTTAATAAGTAAAATCATCGATCTTAGAATAATGTTGAATAATAATAATAATAACAATAATGATGATAATTTTTACTTATAAAAAATTATTAATAATAATAATAATAAATTTAGAAGCTGAATTATGAGACGGTAAAAATTAGAGTGTATTTTTTAAATTCTGGCTCGAAGGTTGAAAATACGGTAAAGTTGATTAGAACTTTTTATGTAAAAAATTTAAATCTTTATAAGAAAGATTTTTTATATTATGATTTTTTGTATCTTGAATATTTTAGCCACAATCATTAGTTTAAACTTTTGAAAACTATGGATAAATTTTATAACTTCGTTTTTTTGACTTGGAGTTCAAGTTTTGGAAAAAGAAAGAGAGATAAAAAAAATTGATAAGGATCTCTTTTGTAGATAGTTAAATTTTGTATAAAAAAAAGATTGATATAATTTTAGAGTATTTTTAATATTTGATCTGCAATTTTGAATTAAAAGTTTAACATAGAAAATTTTAATAAAAAAATTAGATTTTTAGTTATTGATAATAAATTCTTAAAATATAATAATAATATCGTTGTTTATATTTTTGTTATAAAAATTTTTGATTTTGACATTTTTGCGATACCTATTTTTTAAAAACATAAAAAATTATAAAAATTAAGTTAGCCGACATTTAAAAATTAAATAGAATTTTTTTATTGAAAAAATGACTACAAAAAAAAAGAAAAAAAAATTGTCATTTGTTAAAAACTTGAAAAACAATAAGTGCAATTTTTTAAAAATATTTTTTTGTTCTAATTTAATTATTAAAAAAAAAAATTAAAAACGTCGGCTAACTTTAGTATCATAAAAAATTACATCTTCATTAATATTTTATCGAATAGTGAGGCTTAGATTGTACGTTACCGGTCAAATTTTTGAAAAAATAAAATTTTTAAATGCTAGTATTTGTTCAGAGTTTTACGAGAAAGTCAGACGTTTGCAGTATTTCTCGGATTATACTATCAGTCATGGATTAGATGTAGTAAAAAAAAACTAAAAATTAGATTTTTGAAATGTTCAGGTTTCTTTTTTTGCAATAAAATATATATCAGTTACCGAGATATTTATTGAGAAATTAATTTTTAAAAATCACAAAAAATTCTCAAGTAACCTACGTTAAAATGGAGTCAAAACATTTGGCAACGTTGCGTAGCGGGCGAGCTTCAGACCATTCAATAAATTCAAACTAATTTATTTATTTACACTGACTGCAAAAACTTAAACGTGTTTAAGGTTATATTGTGCAAATGAAAATGTAAACAACCGAAGTACAGCGTTGCCAAATCACGGACAGATTACTTGCAGCTGTTTTGAAAGAGTCAAATTAATTTTTGTATTTAACTATTTTTTTTTTTTTATTTTCAAAATTTCAACGATTAATGCCTCATATACTATTTATTATTTAATTTTAGGAATTTTTATGGGTTTTTTATTTTAATTTATCGTATATTGACTACTACAATTGTTTTGACTCAACTGGAGCGAAAGGATTTCCTTAAGCATAATTTAAATTTATTAACATTAACTAAAATATACGATCCATAATATCTTTTACTAAATATTTTTTTTTATTTCTTCTAATAACTTTAATAATTTTTCCCTAATTCCTTGAAATGAAAGAATTATACAACTTTTTAAATTTCATCATAACTTACAAAATTCACAATTTTACAAATAAACTTATAATTCTATTTTTTGTACATCTAAAAATTGTTTAATTATTATTAAGAGTGATATCATTATTGTTATTTATACTTAAAACTAATTTATTTTCATTTATTATTAAAATTTCATTCTTTATTCATCTTTATTCATGAAAACAATCTATAAAATACCGCCATCTTGCCAAAAGTGCCTCTATATTCTTCACAAAAATTTTTAATACTTCACGAGATTTTAGAAACAAACACTATAAGTATATTTTCATGACACTGAAGTTAGAAGACGTGTGAAAATTTTTGATTTTTTTTATTAATCAAATTACAACTAAAAAGATATTTCTAAAAAATTGCACTTATAGTTTTTCAAGTTTTTTACATGTGACAATTTTTTTTTTTAATTGTTTAATTGAAATTTTTTTAATAAAAAATTTCTAAAAATTTTGAAATATCGGCTAAATTCACTTTCATATATTTTCTTGAAATTTTTTTCATATTTTGCCTAAATTTTAATATTTTCAAAATCTTTAAGATAAATTCCGACGTCGGAAGAAATATATTATCGTATTTGGAACAATTTTTTTAAAATTTTCATGGAAAAAACCACCAAAATTTCTGTCAACTTTAAATTTCAAATTTTCTGTTGAAATTTTCATAATTTTATCTAAAAATTTTCTATCAATTCCAACTTAAAATTTTCTTCCAAAATTTTTGATTTTTTTAATTTAAAAAACAAACTTTAACCTAAAAAATGATAGAGTTTAATCAAATTTTGTCAAAATTTTCATTTTTTCAATTTCGACATTTAAAAATTTAATTTTCCAACTTTTCTTTTAAATTCTTCAATTTCCATTTTAACATTCCAAACTTTTCAATTATTGTAAACGGGCCTTACTTCCCTTTCCTAAAACGCATGCGCGAGGCTCAACCTCCACAAGTCCTAAAAAAAAATTTTCACTCATATTACCATCCGCGTCCAACGTGATTAGAAACCATAACCAAGAAACCTCTCAACTAAGCGCACGTGGAAAATTAACCTCTACTTGTGTACAAAATTTCCACCTTTCATTTCGCTAACAGGTAAGTACTAAATTCTCTACTAATTTCAAACAATCGCCAACAATAAACTAAACCAAAAAACTTTCCAGTAAACAATCTAAAGCAATGGTGTCGATCCTGAGAATCCTGAGATGGACAGTCACCGGCGTGGATGAGCTGTTAGACACAGAATTTGACTCCAAGTACGAGGTATACAAATCAGTCTGCACCACGATGTCGCACCATGACCTCTCCTGGGAAATGGTGTTGGTTTTTAACGGGTCAAAAAACCCGTACGGCGAGTGGGTTTCTTTGCAACTTAAGCTGATCACAGAGCAGAAACGGGTGAATGTAAACTTCAAGATCTGGATGGTGACACAAAATGGCACCAAGATCCGCATGAACCACGAATCCATTTTAGAGATCGACGACACCATGACCTACACCATCCCGGATTTCATCAACAAAGATGGCCTCTTCGTCAACTACGAGGAGTACGTTCCAAAGAACGTCCTGACCTTCATCTACGAGTTTGACGTCAAGTCTGTTTCCGTTATTCCCAGGATTATGTCCAAAAGAGACAAGATGGATCAAGAATACGACGATGACTCCGAGTCAAATGGTTGCTGTGATTCCACCACCAATCCTCTTAAGCGCATGGCCACATTTTAGAAGTCCTTTTGCTTGTAAAAGTTTTAATTTTAGTTCGCTTTTTAAATTATTATTATTTTAGTAGAATCTTAAGCAGTGTCGTTTGTCGTAAGTAATCGCTGTTCTACTGAAGGACGACAAAATGGCGGACTTTTTGTGTAACTATCCGGTTTTTTAAAAGAAAATATTGAAAAATGGCCTAAGATTAGCTGCAAAGTATCCTAAGCATTAAAAGTGTAAATAATCGCTGTTTTGTTAAGTTTCTGCTTGGTGATATTAGCGAAAATTATGCACGACAAAATGGCGAACTTTTTGTGTAACCACGTGGTTTTTTTAGTGAAACTATTGCAAATTGCAGGCTTAAAGTTAGCTGCAAGGTATCATAAGCAATTAATATAGTTTTGGTGTAAATAATCGCTGTTTTGTTTAATTTCTTGGTAATATTTGTAAAAGCTAAGCTCGGCAAAACGGTAGATTGATGTAAAATGTGCGGATTTTTTTTTACTAGTCGTTTATTATAATTTTTTTTAAAATAAACTTTGCATTATTGAATAGCAAGTTTGTATTGTAAATTTATAATTTTGTAGTGTAATCGTAAAAATTTTAATTTAAGGAAAATATTCTTGGACAGTAATCATCTTGGTTAGGATTTTTCATTCAGAGTGTCTTTAATGTTATGAATGACGCTTCTAAACTGCATTGACGCTCAAAATTAATGCCGTAATTTCGTAATTTTAGTCGATATCTTCATAAATAATATTTATTATTGTATTGTCTCGACAAATGTGTAATTGAAAGTGCCTTTAGATGTTTACTGATTTAGAGACTGCATTGACGCTTGAAATCAATGTAGTTATCTCGGGAAATATCTTATTTAATAATATATTTTCTTATTAAATGTTATTTAATGATATTTAATCTTAACAAAATTCGGATATGTTTTTAAAAGTAAAGATTTGTATTTAAAAAATAAAAAATGTACCTTTATTAATTAAGAAAATTTATGAACCTATAAGAGTAATTTAATGAATGACTTTTTAAAAATTGGAATGGGCAATTTCAAAAATGCCCTCCAAGATCTACCTTTCATCAACAAAAATGATTAATAGTCTCGAAGTTGTACAAAATGGCTGCGACATTTTCTCGACTGATAAGATTGTCAATTATCATCAAAAGTTCTCGACCAAAACTGAAAAAAAAAAATCTAGATAACTTTGCATTCTCGAAAATTGTTTAAAGTCTCACTTTATAAAGCAGATGACAATTGTAACAACTAGAGCATTATTAATCCTGATAGTGAATAGTGACAAAGTATCGATAAATTTGTTTTGTCTCGCCAACAACGGACAAGTTGACAATGTCTGATACAGGCAAGAGTTTCAGTGAAGTGAGAGATATAGTGAAGAGACTTAGATCGTGAGTATATTATAATTTTAAAAGAATTTTGGTAAATTCAAATGTGCATGCCTCAAGCGCTTATGTTAAACATAATTTTTGCACGCCTCATAAGCGAAGCGGATGAGGTAGTGCTTTACTCTCGCCTCACAAAAATCCACTTATCGTTTGTATATCTATATCTATGTAAATAAGGTTCGCTTACAACACATGCGCAGTACCTTTCTTTTCTGTGTGGACAATGACGCGAAAGGTTTAAAAGTATTTGTATTTTATTTTAATTAATTTTATTATGAAAAATGAGGTTATGAGGCGCGCGCTTTTGGATTTTTCAAACTTTTTTTGGTATTTTGGTGATAACCTGATAACGAAAACAAACTTTGCTGTAACAAGTCCGTATTGTTAAAGAGATTTAACTTTGGTATTTTTCAAAAATATTTTTTAAAAATACTATTACATTGTAGAATATCATTTAATTGTTAACTTTTCTTAGGATTACTGGTGATTCAGAAACAGAGTTCCTGAAGTCAATCTCACATTCTGGTGCAGTGCACGAAAGTGCTAAGAGGATCAGACCTGAGCGTCCACGTGATCGTCGCACAAGTAAAGCCGATTCCAACAACAGCGACGAAGAATATTCTCATAGCCGACATTTAATTCCCCCTAAGGTAGATTCTAGATCACGAGACAGTAGTCGTAGAAGTTACCACCACTCTCAAAGAGATTCTTCTAGATCAAGAGATAGCAGTCGCAGAAGTGATCATCAATCCAAAAGAGATTCGTCTAAATCAAAAGAAAGCGGTCGTATAGGTGATTATGATTCTGGTGCAGGACCTTACAAATCAAGAGATAGCAGTCACAAAAGAGACTCTTCTAGATCCAATCCCAGCAGCCGTAGAAGTCATTCTCGTTCTAGAAGAGATTCTTCAAAATCAAGGGGCACCAGTGATAGAAGTAAATCTCGTTCCAGACCCGAGTCAAGCTCTAAGAAAAGTTACGCATCTTTGAGGAAATGTGTTGATAAAAGATCATCCGCTAAAGATTGCTTCGACTTCTTCATATTGACATGTTATTTTCCAAAAGCGGCAGCCTTGAGTGCTCAAAACATGGGTAATAAGGAATATTATGAAGACAAGTTAAAAGATGACTGGTCTATTCATGGATTGTGGGCTTTTTCTTATAAGTATGGTGCAGAATTGGAAAAAGAGTGCGGTAACCTGATTAATATGTGGTTTGATGAAAAATTATTGTTAGACAATGAAGATTTCGTTAAAGAACTCCGTGAAAAGTGGTTTAATATTTACAAGAAAGATGGTTATTCTGATGAAACGTTTTGGAAGCATGAGTTTTATGAGCATGGCAAGTGTGCGACACGCTCCAAACATGTTAAAGACCTTAAAGGATACTTCAATCTGGCATTGAAGCTGTTCAATAATGCAGACCTCAAGAATACGCTTGCTGACGGTGGTTTTGAACCCGGAAAAATTGTCACCTGGGCGGAAATGTACAATATTATTAAAAAAAAACATGGTGGTTATCCTAAAATCGAACAACTGAGAGACCCGGTGAGATTTCTTTAATTTTACTTAATTATGCTAAAATTTCACTTACTAGCTCAAACTTTGTATTAGTTCAGTAGATTTTAAACAAATATTGCGCAGCAACGCTTTTAGTAACCTTAGCAAACGCTCCTAACAACATCTTTAGCAACTATTGCCTAGGAACTCTAGTAAGACTCCTAGTAATCTTAGCAAAACCATTGCCTGGTAATGCCCCTAGTAAACATAACAACTCCCCTACACGGAAAGAAAATCGAAGGACTTTTTACTATTTCACTATCGTAATTTTTGTTAAATTAAATATTAACGGTGGACTATATTTCTCATTTAGTAATTTTTACGATCTACTATTGTAAATTTTATCCAACAAACAAGGCTAGCAAGAAACTTAAGAAGTCGAATAATATAGAGCAAATTATACAATATGTGTATGTAAACTTTATAATTCAACTATTGTAAAAATTTACAGTCGGTTTTTTTAAAAGAAATTTTAGGGAGAGAGAGAGATAGGAGGTTGGACTAATTGGTACCCATACAGTAACCGAAAAAAGAAATCGGGATTTCCGTCCTATCCCGGGAATCGAACCCAGAAACTTTTTGTTGGCAGCCAGAGACTCTCCCTCTACGCTATCCGAGGTAAACTAGTACCCATGTCCTTTAACATTTACATAAACTCGGAGTCTAGCGCTGTGCACGGCCATCACTCACACTAGTTGACAAACATTCCAATTCAATTATTGTAAAATTTGTTACAGTTCTATTGGAAAGATATAGAGGCAGTACTGGAAATTTTAATTCTTACTTTTTACAATAGTAATAGAGTATTTGTTCTAATCGTATATTGTAAAATTTCATGAATAAATAGTAAATTTTCTTCTAAAATATTTGAAAATTAATAGTAATAAAAGTATAGTCCAGCTTTACAATAGTTGTATCGTAAATTTTCCCAGAAATTTTTTTCCGTGTAGCTATCATTGTTCAGCGACGAGCCTTCACCAATCCCACATTAACTTTTCATCAAAAAAAAATCTGGAAAACGGTTGACCCTGCTGACCGTCCCTGAAACTTCCCGCTGTGTACGAGTTCAAAACGCTTGAGAAATTATTTAATCCGAAGGTTTGAGCTCTTGGAGCTCAAAAACAAAACTTTTATACTTTTTCGAGCTCTTTGATCTAAATCGTAATACATATACATACATACAGACAGAAATCACCTTAAAAATTGTCATGAAAGCTTCCTAAGACCTCGAAACGTTGAAATCTGATGAAAACTCGATTTTCGAAATCAGGATGAAACCATTAACTTCCCGATTTACGAAAATTTTCAATTTTCTTAGCGCGAAGTTAAAAAATTAGTTTGTAATATTTTATGATTTTTAAGGTGCGTCAAATCTACCATCCACATGAAATAAAACTGTTCTATGATCATGATCTGAAACCTATTGATTGTCCAGGAGACCCATATCTTGATCAGAATTTTAAACGCTTGAAGTTCCACTACGATGTAAAACTGCAGAAAAAATCATCAACAAGTACATATTCACGGAATAATTCCAGGGACTAACACATCATCGACAACTTCTGAGAGTAGATTTATAAAAAAAACATTATTATTATTTTTATTATTAGTACTATTATTATTATTATTATATACATGTTATCATTTTTTCGTTTCAGTAATTTTGTTCAATAAAGTATCTTATGAGTTTTATGATATTTACTTTTAAAAGAAAAAGATTTTACTTTATTCCCAACAGTTATATGGATCTTATCATCTTTGGATACCATTGAAGTCCACTTTACCCACAGGCAACTGCTTGACTTCTCCCATTCACCCTGCAGTAGATATAACGCTCATGCGTATGTCCGCCATTTTGTTGACTTCCAATAAAGAGACGTTTTCGAGAAATCAGTTGTAAAATGGCTGCATCACATGAAGCGACATTTTATATTCTAATAATAAAATTTGCATCATCGAATTTCTGTAAAAAGAATATTCTGGCTGAAAATGAAAATTTGAGAAGAAATTTGTCGCATTACTTCAAACAATTTTGTGTTCTCGAAGATTGTACCACAATCTTATCATGTTATATATACGATGACAATTTTACTGACTTTATCATTGTTGTTAATAATTGCATTAGTGACAAAGTGAGTGATTAATATATATTTTATCTGACAACAAAAAACGAATTGACAATGTCTAATATGTACGACCGTAGGAAGTTACAACAAGAACTCAAAAAAATCAAATTGTAAGTAATTTTAAATAGAGAGCTTGTGTTAATTTTTAATCACTAAAAATTAATTTATAAAGTAAAAAATTATTTATTAGAAAAATATTCTAATTTTTTGATTAACAATTTTATTTTTTAAATTAATTATGAAAAATGAAAATTTTAGTGTAAAGACAAGTTATGATTGGCTGTGACGTAATTATATTCGTAGCAGCAAGAACAAAAAATGAAAATTACGCTAACCTCTTGTATTTTATATATTCAGATCATTATAAATCATTTAAGAGTTAAATTTACCTAACAGAATAAATATTATCAAGTTATACCACAGATAATTTTTTTTATTAATGCAAAATATTCTCGAATAAATAAGAAATATGGTTGGTCTCGGGTTGAAAAAACAAGACTTATAACTTGTCCGGGAGTAGGTGAAGTATTGTTGTTAAATATCGGTCAGTATTTATCTGTCTGCGCTTTTAAATAATTATTATTTTACACAAATAATTGTTTTATTCTTCGTTAAAATATTTTTTTTACATTTATTAATTTATTTCACCAACAAATATATCTTCTATTATAAAACAGCCGTTTATTTATTAAAGAAGACAACTTAAACATGGATATAGTTTTAAAACTCTCTGTAAGATGGCGTTGCGCGCCGGATATAATACTACGTCTCTGCCGCTAGAATTTGTATTAAAAAATAAATTAATTAAAAAATTACCTGGACAAGTAAATTATTTGAATACTTCTCCTTTATTTTGTCTTAATAACCAACTAAACTTAAAAAAAAAAAAAAAATAAACAAACATGCAATGTCTTTTTTTTTAATTTTATGCCTTTCTTTATTTAGGAACGAGAAATTATCAGAATCTCAACAATCTAAGGATCATTCAGACTCTGGTAACGTTAATGCAAGTCTGAATAGTAGTAAAAATCTCGCAGCGAATGATGTTCCTGGAAAAAAAAGTTATGCTGGAGCTTTAAGTGTGAAGAATCCAGGAGATGGATCAAGTTTAAAGAACACTAGTGATACCGGACCTTATTCTGGACGTGGAGATCTAACTTATCCAGATGATCATTTTAGATCAAGCGTTGCCAGTTCTAGCAAAAGTGATCTTAGTTCTGGATTAGAAGGTAGCAGTAGCAGCGCCCAAAGTTCTGATCAATCCAGTCATGTCCCAGAACAAGATGACCATCAAACAGTATATGCATCAATGGAAAGTTGCATTGACGAAAAGTCTCGAGCAGAAGATTGTTTCGATTACTTTACATTAGCACTAATTTCACCGGTGACAAAAGCACTATTAGGAAAAAGATCCGGTAAAACATACCGTAGACATAAATTGATTGATGACTGGGCGATTCACGGATTGTGGCCTACAGCTCGGGAAGGTGGAGAAGAACTTCAAGATTGGTGTAACCGGATACTCCTAAGATACAACGAGCGGCTACTGATTGGTAAAGAAACCCTGGTAGAAAGACTCCGTAAGCTGTGGTTCGCTTTGTACAATGAGTCTGACAGAACTGATGAGTCCTTTTGGCGGTACCAGTTCAACAAACACGGTAAATGTGCCACTCGCTCAGTTTATGTTAATGACCAGCTAGGATACTTTCAGGTGACGTTTGAATTGTATGATGACATAAACCTCAAGAAAACCCTGGCGGATGGTGGATTTGTCAAAGGATCTTATGTTAAGTTGACAGAGTTATACAATATTGTTAAAAAGAAACATGGTTGTTATCCTTATATAGGATACTGGTATGATTACGTAAGATTCTTTCGAGTTTTATTTTTGTTAATAAAGTGCCGGAAAATGGATATTAGATCTGACTATAAATATTTCATCAGATATGGCATAACCTTCTATATGTAACCATATGTGATCATGTGATCATATGCAACTATATCTTAACGGATTTGGCCATATATGAATATATGATAACGTTTAATTTAATGTAATCCCATTTCTGATAAGGCATATCCATATCTGGTCACACATGGTCATGTTTGGTTACACATGGCCACATCTGGTCACAGATAGTCATATCTGGTCACATATGATCACAATCTGACCATATATGGTCGCACTTGATCACATAGGATACATGATCTATCTGGACACATTTGGCCGTATGTGATTATATATGATTATTATATACAATACCGACGGAAAATTTCCGGACAACCTTCTTGTTTACTTTTTAATTTAAATATGATACATAAACAAATTAACTTGACCTATAAGGAAAATGCTATTTTATTTTATAAAGTGTGTACGATCGTGTCATTGACTTTCTTCTTGATTCATTTTACTTTTAATAAATTTTCATCTTTTCCGCAAATTTTCTGTCGGTAGTTAATTAGGTTCGGTCATATATGATCAGATGTCACCATATCTGATCTGATCAATTGAAAAAAAAAATTTTTTTTTTCTTTCTATAGATAACCCAAGAACATTACTTATTGGAAATCCAACTCTGTTATGACCACAATTTAAGGCCTATAAACCATCCAGAGGAGAAACATAATGATCCGAAGATTAGAAACATTGAAATTTCTTACCTAGCAAGAGTGCCTCGATGAAAATAAGATAGATGATGAACAACACCGCTTTAAAGTTACAATCAGTGTCAGTTATTGTATAATTACATATTATAAATTTGTTGCTTTATAATCAATTTCTTTAATAAAATATCATATGCATGTACCTAATATTGCCCACATATATGATCTTATTCTTTGATGATATTAAGAATTACCTTAAGGCAACTATACAGATCTTCATTATCGACAGACAAAAGCATAAATTTTCCAAGCCAGTAGATATTTACTCGACGCTCGATTTTGTAGGAATTGTTCTTGCCTTATGCATGCGCATATGTGTCCTCCATTTTGTTGACGGACAATAAAGAGATGTCTTCAGGAAATTGTTGATTAATTTTATCAAATTTAAATTGATATTCTTGATAATTATAATAGATAACTTTATTTAATTGATGTAATTATATATGATACAGTCTTTAAAAAAATTAAATAATTAATTAGAAATCGTATTTATAGCCATTCGCACTGATTTTCACATGCGATACGGCATTTGATGGAGAATATGCGACGCCTAATAAATTCTGGTGCTCCACAGGTGCTTGTTGAACTGGCTCAGGTGCCTAAAAAAAAACGTAATTAATTTTACTAATTAATAAATCGTAATTGTTTGTCAATTACATAAAATTTTTTCATTTTAATTCACGAGAAGAAATGAAGAAATAGAAAAATTAAAAATGAATTTTAATTATAAGAGACAAAAGCCTTTTTTCAATTTGAACTAACATAGAAATAATTGCAATTGTGAATGTGCATAACGACCAATTAACGATACGTAACCAAATAAGAGCGGAAGTTAATGGAGAATAATCATCAACTCACATTTTCAATAGAAGTTAATTGGGCTTGACGCAACGCCAATATTTGCGCTAATTGATTTTGGTAATAGTTATTATTTATTTGTTGTTGCTGTTGGTATTGTTGGTTTAACAAACTGTGTTGATAAACTGCACCAGCATCGGGAGAAGCTCTCGATGGAAATTGAGAATATTGGAACAGTTCTGGCCGAATTTGGGGTTGATAATCTGAAAATAAATTTTTACTGGTTAAGAAAGCAAGAAATATAGTTTTCGATAAATTTTGTTAGATTTTAAAAAACAGAAAGTTCAAAAATGGTAATACCAAATTAGAATGAATGTTGGAGGTGTTTCACAAAAAAATGACGTTTTTATTGGTGCATTTGCGCTCAGAATCAATGCTCAAACAATTATAGTTATTGTTATTATATTGAGAAGTTACATAAAAGATTTTTGATAACATCGCGTGGAGATTTCGAAAAAAAATGCCCTTTATGCAATTTTGACGTTTTTTTACTGCATTGACACTTAAAATTAATGCAAATAAGCTTCTTCTCATTGTAGCAAAGAGTTATCAAAATATTAAGGTAGTTGTCGTGGTTAAGGCATACCGTCAGAAAATTCTAAATTTTTGTATACTTATTAAGGACATGATGATACGATTACTCTTAAAATTTGAAGTCGATTGACCACCTATAACCAGAGATGAATTCAATTAAATATAGGATATTTAACATTGATTGAATACGCTCTCTGCAGTTCTGGACAAGTTTCGTAGTTTTAAAAAAAAAAAAACTAACTGTCAGAAACTTTGAAAAAACAGTCAATAGTGATTGGATCATTTGTCTTCGAGTAATTACTGCAGCAAATTCGAAAAATACTGTTTCGAGAAAAACGCGTTTAAAGATAAAATGATCCTATTCTTACTGCCGAGCGGCTACTTTAGAAATGGCTGTTACTCGAAAACTATTTGAGATATCGATTAAAAATTTTAGTATGTTCTTTTTAAAGGTATAACCTACCGAAATATGAAACAAAAAAAATCGATTTTTTTTTAATTTCACACTAGGTGTGCCCCTTAAAGTCAATGAAATATATTTGGTTTATGTTGAAAATAACAATATTTCCTAGTATTGTCACGTTTAATTTATTATGATGAAGATGTCTTGCACAATTTTTATAATTTTGATTATATCGACTTTTTGAATCAATGCACTACTTTCACTTCGAGTCTCAACTAGTAAAAATTTGTTAGTATTATCACGTTGAAAATAAATTAAAAGTTTCCTTATCTTAAAACACTTAACGGCTCTTTGCTGCATTGACGTTCAAAATCAATGCACTAATCTCAAGTAATGTCTCAACTAGTAATTTTTTAATATTATAACATCGTTATTTCAATTAAAAGCCTTTCCAGCCAATCAATGCTCTGTTTACGTTGCGTTGACACTCAAAATCAATGCACTACTTTCAGTCACTACCTAAATTACCAATATTTGTCATTTTAATCGCGTTCAATTTCTAACTTAACCTAAATTTAGCTTACTAATGCCCTATTTACACTGCATTGGCACTCAAAGTCAATGCATTACTTTTTCTTCAATATCTCTAGATCTACTCAAGCAATTTTAACGAAACTCAGTTATGTTTTCACCAGTAAAATCTGGTACATATTGCCCAACTCAAATTCTTATTTTTTAAATTACTTACCGTTCTATTTCAATGTTTATCCCACTATTACTCTTAAACAAGAACTTTCTTAAGATAAATCGATGTCTAGAGAAATAATAACCGAAAGTAAGTAAAAAGAGGGAAAGTAACAATAATAAAGATGTTAAATTTTTTACCGAGTCCAGGATTTCTGTAGGCCAGAGCTTGAGCGACATTAGGGAGGACTTTTTGGGCTAATAATGGGTTCCCAATGCTTGAGCTGAATGATTGATGCGAGCTGGGGCCATTGAATGAATAGGACGTCTGGGTTAATCCAGGCCGGATGAAATCGAAACTTGCATGTTGTCCAGCACCTCCTAATATATTTGACGGCCTTATTCCGGATCCTGGATTAACACTGACGGAAACAACTGAAGATATTGATGATGCTATCATCAGACAAATCCCAATATTTCTGTTCTGTAATGCACAATATATTTAGTTTATCGTTTGTCGCCATTTTGTCAGTGATTGTTACCATTTTGTATCAGTCACTGATTAGCTTTATTATCTGATGAATTATAACAAACTGTTGACACACACGGTACAATATATATATATATATTTATACTTCTTTTAGACGTAAAACTGTAAGTGGATCTTAATCCGATTTATACGACTGATATATGATGTCTGATGACGAAAATCAAACTGGCAATCAAGTGAGATTGAATTCCGAGCAAGTTATATTTATATACAAAGGAAGCATTCACTTGCTAAAGAAACGTGAGATGTATAAATATGTGAATTATTATTCCCCGTACTTTCCCTCTATATATACGGCGGACGGAAAGACGGAAGAAGCAGAGAAAATAATCATAAATCTATGATAGGTGGATAAGGTAAAATGGGCACTGCTTTTAAGGAAGAATTAGAAAACAAAAGTGAAATTTTGTTTTATTTGTGAGTAACAATGAAATCTTACTTTTTTTATACTTACGTGACTTTTTGAAGAATAATGTATTTTTAGGAAAGAATTTCGCGTCAGAATTTTTATTTAAAACGCGGTTATTGCAAAAAATGATTGCATTGACTCAATAGCAAATCAATGCAATTTTGCTAATTAATATCGTAATTATTACCAAGGATTAGAGCTATTACAATTTTATTTAGAAGTGCGGTTGTACCGACGATGAAGTTTTTTGATTGCACTGAAACTCAAAATCAATGCAATTTCTTTAATTGAAGTGTCAATTACTAACTGAGATTAGAACTGTTCAATTGTAACATTGAAATTTTATTCAGAGGTGTGGTTATACGGAGAATGATGTTTTTAGACTAAATTGACACTCAAACTCAATGCAATTTTTCTAATTGATATCACAATTACAATTACTAATTAAGATTAGAATTGCTCAAATGTAGCAATAAACGTTGAATAAGAGGTGCTGTTCCAAGGAAAATTTCGTTAACTCTCAAAGTCAATGCAATCGTTCGTTTCAATATTCCAGTCACAAATTCAAGCATCATTAGGAAAAATGTAGCATCAAAACTTCAATTAAATCAATGCAATCTATTCAGCGTCTCAATTACTGATTATTATCATATTAGAGTCAGTGTCATCGCTTATGAAAGTTCAATTCAAGCCGACTGTATACCATTCTTACCACTGTTTACTGCATTGATGCTCAAAATCAATGCAATCCATTCACTCAAAATCTCAATAAGTATAATATTGCTAAATATTAACTTTTTAGAATTATAAAATTATATCTTGATAAATTATATCTAGAAAAGCATAATCATTTTTATTCTGCATCGTCACTCAAAATCGGTGACACGACAAAATCTCCCCGACAAAATCTAATTTTAAATAATAATATTATTATTCCTGACAGTTATGATGGTATTTTTCGTGTAAATATACACAAAAAATCATGATAAAAGGGCACAACGAGATTTTGAAGCGTATTTGTCGGGGAGATTTTGTCGTGGAACCCTCAAAATCAATGCACCCATTTTTCTCAGGAACTATACTCATTCGATTTATCTGAAATTTTGATATGTTCCTCAGACTGCCGCCGTGTATCGATCCACCATCTTAAATTTCAAATTTTTAATTTTTTTTAGTATTTTTATAAAAATATTCTCCAATCTTATTCACCAAGCTTCAAAGTAGATTATCTTAATTCTCAACACAAATGAAATAAACTCACCCCAATTTTTTTGTTTCCCAAATAACACAATTTCCCGTAATTATTCAAGCATCCCGTCAATCTAACTCGACTTTTTCCCAGAGTTTAAATTAGTTTGACTGAATAAATACAATTCTCTGCATCACTATTCCCCTCACGCAGATCGATTTTTTTCCTTCAAATATTACCAAGCTTTTTTTTTTACCATAAAAAGAAAAAATAAAAAAAAAGTGCATGTAAAACTCAGTTATGAAGCTTAAATCAAATCTGAATTTTCCTCTCCTGAGTTTTCTAGACTTCTGCATCCAGTTTTTATTTACTAATAATAATTATAACTTCAACAGAAATGTATAAAAATACTTTTTTTTTAGTTCTCATCCACGATCCCGAAAGTTTTAAATTAGCAAAACTCTATAACCTTGTATTGAGATAAAACTAATTCGAGTTTTGTTAGATACCGAAGGTAAAAGTTCGTCTTAGTCCTCCGAAGAATTCGGAATTATTCTTCTTAACGAAGACTTATCTTCCCGAATAGTAGAGTAAGTTGATAAGTGTCCGATGACAACGGATCACGAATTCTAGTCAGTTGAGGGATTAAATTTCAGGACAAACTGAAATCCACTTGGAACAAATTTTCCTAACTATTATCCCCCACGGAAAAAGTATATATTCTAGTATATCGCGTTACTGATGCCATAAGGGCGTATCTCGAAAAAAATACCCTTGAAAAGCCATAAGGGCGTGTCAAAAATTTTTTTCCGGGAATCGACGTAGTTATGCCTGAAACGGGCAGAAATGCAAAAAAAAATTTTGGTACGTCCTTATGGCTCCCGGTAGGTACCCTGGGTGCCATAAGGGTGTACCAAAAAAATTTTTTTTCGGGAAACAACGTATTTTCACTTGAAACGAGTAGAGATTTGAAAAAAAATTTTTTTCAAATTTGAAATTTTTTGGTATGCCCTTACGGCACCCGGGGTACCTACCGGGAGCTATAAGGGCTTACCAAAAAATTTGTTTTTCGGGAAACAACGTATTTTTACTTGAAACGCGTAGAAATGACGAAAAAAAGTGCGTATAAAAGTGAGTGCAAGTATGAGTATACATATGTACATACATATATGTACATACGAAAACGGCGAGGGTGTAGGAAAAAAAGTTGAATAAACGAATGAAAGAGAACGATGAAAAATGCTTAAAAGAAATGAAAAGATAGAAAATAACCGGGAGTAAAAGGGTGGAACGTAAAAATGTAAAAAAGACACCCTGGAATTCTAGACGCTGTGCAAGTTGCTGCAAATGACGAAATGAGACAAGATATTTTTGTAAGAAAATACAATGGCTACACACAATTGAGGTACCGAAAAAAGAAAGAAAAAAAAATATTAATAATAGTAATAATAATGAAAAATATGGGGAGCAGTGAAGAAAAGGGTTCTCTAGACGGAGTGGAAAAATTTTCTACCTGCACTTTTCCGGGAACTCTTTTTGTGGAGCCTCTCGTACGGAAAGGGAAGTCTATGCCGGAGCGAAAAAGCATCTCTGAGATTTGCGTCAAAGGTACTAGAGCATTGTTGAGAGCTTCTATGTAATTGAATGGACTAGTCTGCGATTTTGAGACGCCACTGCTAGCTGAAACAACGGGTTTTTGTCACAAAAAATATTTTTTATTATTTTGTTAGTAAAGTTGTGAGAAGTATTAGTTAACTATTTTTGCTGCCAGGAAAAAAGAGAAATTTAATGGAATTTTTAACTTATATTATCGATTATTAATGAGCATGCCTTAAGCGCTCATGTCATACACAAATTATTTAGATCGTAACAATAAAAATTATTCGTTTTTTTGTTTGAATTTTCCCGCGAGTAGTATTATGTGCTCTCTGTAGGTCGAACTAAAGAAAAATTTTACCAGATGATAAAACAGTTAGTAATTATATCATCATGTATGTATAGTTTCTGCTTGTTTATAGTTATTTCAATTCTGTTTATGAAAAATAATATACATATGGCTGCCGAAATCGCAGAAAAAGTCACCGAACTGACAATCGAAAAAAATTAACTGTATCGAAACGGAATTATTTTGACACGCAATTTTCACAAGGGTTTTGATAAACTTCTTCAGGAATAAAACAAAAAAAAAAATTAAATCGTGAAAGTGATTTTTGACAAAGTTGTGGTGTTGTCAAGCCCATAGCTCCCGTGAATACCACGCTCTTATTCATTTAATTCATCAGAATAACGAGTTTTTTCTGAGAAATCTTATTTAATCGATAAGAAAATTTTTTTAATGTGTTCTATAGTTACTATTATTTATTTCAATATGCTTTTTATCCATAATTTTTTTCGTTTAAATTATGAAAATCACGTTTTAATCGAAATCACGATTTTTAGGCGAGAGTAGAGCATACCTGCGCGCTTCGCGCTTAAGGCATGCAAAAGAATAGAAATACATTATTTGAAAATTTATTGTAAGAGTTTGTGAGCTGATATGAATTTTTTCTTTTTTTTTTTTTATATCTTTAACTTACAAACTATAATAGTTTTGTGTATAAAATTAATAATAAATAGCAACCTTGCAGTCACATAGTGACTGCCGTGACTTGTGAACTATAAAGAAATAAAACTTTTCTTAATTAAATAATGACTTAATAATGTTAAATTGCACTCTACTTTCTTAACTATTGACGTTTTTAAAGATATAAGCTCATCCCGATGTTATACTCATCAAGAGCTTTCATTTGAGTACCCACATGCATTTTCATATATTTTTCATATATACATATATATATAAATATGTGAAAAATTGATGTGGGTACTTAAATGAAAGGTCTTGATGAGTGTAATGTCGGGATGAGCTTATATCTTAAAAAATGTCAATAGTTCACAAGACACACAAGATCATTTCGTATAATTATGTATCTAGAAATGGAGCATTTTCGAATGCAGCTTAAATATTTATCATCAAAAATTGACTAACGGTGTGAATGATATGAAACCTTGAAAAGACACAAATTCAAGTCAAGACACTTGCAATGACACTAAATTTCACTAAAAAAACCGATTTTATCATACTGACTATATGACACAAAATTTTTCTTATTCTCTTAATAATATCGATAAGTATTAAATTGTAATAATTAACGTTACAGCCGATTGCTCCAAATATTGAACATTGGACACTAAATATTGACCGCCTAGGTTCCTAATACTGACCAGTAGTATTATACTTACTGGACTTATAGATAACTTTTATTTTTAATCTGCAATAGTTTCGACATTAGGTTATCTATTTACTGACATGTTAATAATTTCAGTATTGTTGTTAGTTGTTCTGTATTCTGATACAATATTATCTTCAGTACTCAGATTTAAATCAATGGCCGAAGTCATACTAATATTAAATTAAGTACATTCAATAATTTACAACACCAATTGTTGACCAGAGTATTATTTCAATTATCAACATGATGTTCCTAACAAAAATTAGTGATAATTTAAGGCCAAGATTTTTGCCTTTTCCAAATGAATGGTTTATATTTTGATATTACGGCGAAATAATTGATCCTAGAAAAAAAGTTAGTAAACAAAAGTTGTAGAAAATTTAATTTTCTACAAAAAATGTCTCTTATAATTTTTTTATGCGACCAATATTTTCACTGTAATTCCAAAATTAAGATTTATAATGAATAATTCTAATTTTTGCTAATTATAAAAATCTTAATTTTGAAATTACGCCTTTCTAATTGGTCCTAAAAGAAAACTATAGGACACATTTTTTTTACAAAATTAAATTTTGAACAACTTTTATATGAAAAATTTTTTATATGACCAATATATTCGCCGTTAATTAATTATTATTCTGAAATTAAGCAAAAGTCTTCGTATGGTGATAATTAATCTTCGACATTAAATTGTTTTGACAAATACTTATTTATTGATTATAAAGTATTTAATTTTTTATAAACTGATGATAAATATACTTACCAAACACGGCGAGATTAAGTTCTAAATGACTAATTTTCACAATTTTCTGAAATTTGTACTCAAGCTTATTATTTTTTATTATAACAAATGCATATATTTAAATGCATGCTTAAATTTTTATTTAAAGTATAATAAAAAATTGATCATTACTTTTAATAAATAAAAAACTCGAATTAATTAATAGTATTAATTTTTTATTTAATTTAATTTTATTAATTACAAGTATTTTTATATTCATTTAAAAATATATCACATATACTTTTTTACATTGAACTTCATTTTTATATTCATTGAATAAAAATGTTTTTTTTTTCCACATTAGTAATATTTATAGCAAACATAAATTTTATCCATATTTATTTTTATATCTTTGACATTGTTATTAATTATTTATTTGTTTATATAGATATTTATTTATTTTTGACCAAACAGTGGTTATTTTTTCTGTACATGATATTCCGCAAGCGTAAAAGCCGCCGAAAATTTATAAACAAATAACATTTTAAAATAAAACTCCAGTATTGTGTAAACAACGCATCCCCCGGGGATGGAAAAAATTCTACCTTCGTTGGATTTTAATTTTATGCCGTACTTTGAGTTCTTTTTTATCAAGCATTCTTTTCTCAGCCATAAAAAAAATATTTAATAATCTTCAAAGCTATAGCAAAAAGACGAATAGAATCTAATTAGATTTAATTAATGATAAAAAATACAGCCATCCTGCAGCTCCAGTACATAAAATTTAGCTTTTTAAATATTAGTTTGTTATTTGACTACCAGATGGCGCGCTAATCACAGTTTCTCGCATGCGGAGGTCACAGGTGATCTTTTATATTATTAAAAAGTCAATGGTCTATATCAGATCGCCAATTGCGTCATTTTTGATACGTAGTATCGACCACATGCGAGAAGCCGTCGCCTATGCACCACCTGGCGGTGAAAAAACAAACTAATATCGCAAAAAAGCCCTCCCTGATTGAAAAAAAGTATTGAACCTATGCAACTGTATATCTATATTGTATGTATATACAGATATACAGTGTGTGTAATTCAATACTTTTTTTTAATCAGGGCTTAAGCAATGTTTCGGTATGATTTATAAAATTTGAGAGTTTTTAATACGATATTTAAAAAAATATTTACAAATTTATCAAAATTATTGATATTCTTATTTAAATAAATTTGGGTTCCGTAAAAATGTAGAAAAAAATTCTAATAAGATTGAAGTAATAAATTTTTCCAAAATTGGCATTAAATTTCTATTCTTGTTACTCGACCTTTCCTGATGAACTATTAAATTAGGTTATCAATGAACGAGATACATATTTTGTGGATGGTTATCGAATTCGCTGCTGCGGGTGCTTAGATTTCCTCGTGAGTAGTTGATACCCTCGGCTTCATTGTAATTACTGCCGCTGGAGCTATTGTTCCCATTTCCGGATCGTGGGTGTTGTGTGTAAGCTACGTTAGCTAGACCAGAGGGGTTGATCTGGTGAGATGGGTGCCGGTTAGATCTAATAACAGTCTCTTCGCAAACCTTGGTAAGTCTTCGGCTTGAGGACTGGAAGTAGCCTTTCAATCGCTCCTTTGTCGGTCTGGAACAAAGCTCATTAATTTAGTAAACTGGTGGGAGCTGAAGGGTGATTGTTTATCGAGGAGTCAGGGGAGGTTAGGAGATAGTGGTTGCAAAAAATCAGGTTTTTCGCTGTATTGACGATAAAAATCAATGCTGTAATTTTTATGCGATATCTCAGGATCTATTCTTCCGAATTTTTTCAAATTTCAATATGTCTCTCAGGCTTCATCCAGACAGACAATTTGCTAAAAAAATATTCAAAAATCGAGTAGTCAAAAAAAAATTCTAGTACAAAGTTAAGCAGAATACATAATCTCCCCTCTCAATAATCGTCGCTTGTACGCATTCTTATCAAACAATTTCTGGACTGATCAATAATTAACAATCCACTTCCTTTGATCTGTCGGCGCAACTATGTCTTCAATGTCTACACTGATAGAAAGATTTCTTAACATTTAAGAAAATTTCTTTGTATTTAAGAAATCATTTCTTAAACATCATTTCTTAGTATTTAAAAAATATTTCTTTGTATTTAAGAAATATTTTTTAGTATTTAAGAAATATATATATATATTTCTTTGTATTTAAGAAATATTTCTTAAATACCAAAGAAATATTTTTTAAATACCAAGAAAGGATTTCTTAAATACAAAGAAATCTTCTTAAATGTTAAGAAATCCTTCTATCAATGTACCAAGGAATTCTCAACCCCCACAAATTTCCATCTCTAATGTAATCACTCTAATTGAGGCAGTTTTCCCTGCATAAAAGTCACCTCTATTCACTTAAAAATTACCATCCGTGATTTATTATAAAAAGAAAAAACCCTCAATTACCAGTGATCAATTACGATTAAAATATTTTTTTTTCTCTGGATCGATAGTGTCGTGACCCATAACTGCCATTAAATTACCATGAAAAATAAATCCAAGTTGTTTTTTTCCTCCCTATCATCTGCAGTCTTTAAGAAAAATTTTCCATGCTTATAAATAACCTAAATAATTCCCTGCAATAAATAATAAAAATGATACATTATAATCAATATATGTTTCACTCGGCCTTGTAAGCACGATAAATCACGAAAAAATAGTCCAATCGGTCCGATTATTTGTGAGCATCAGCTCCTTACCTCTCCAAAGGACCGTATTAAAAAGGAGATCTCAACTTCCACTTCTTTACTAAAATCATTAACTTTGTTCTTGACCAATGAAGAAAATTTTATCAAATGGTTATTGTTGTTTTTATCATTATGAACTGATAAAAATTTTTTGTCAAACATTTTTAATTATATAATTTTACTGTGATGGTATCTTTGTATAAACAGTGATAACGCAAATAAAATTAGTGTTTGCATTAATTTTGAGCGTCAATGCAGTTCAAAAAATTAGGAATACGGTTGACCCTGAAGGCTATCCCTGCAACTTCCCGCCAATTCTATACCTAAACGCTTGAAATTGCACTTATGACGTTTTAGAGCTCTTCGAGCTCATAAATACAATTTGTGTATTATTTTGAGCTTTCCGAGCTCAAAAAAATAGCTTTTGTATGCTTTTGAGCTCTTCGAGCTCAAAAGTTTGATAGAAGTTTGATAAAACACTACTTTTTTTTATTTTCAAATCGCAATAACTTTTGAATGAATGAACCGATTTTCACGCGGTTGGCGGCATTCTTCGCAGTTTTTTAAGCTCATAAAGAATTCTTAAGTTTCAATTGGTTAAACTAGAAATTTCGGAGTAATTCCGAAAAAACACTTTTTTTGGTTTCTCTTCTGTGATCCCCGTAATCTTTGAGTCTACCTGCGTTGCCAAATGTTTTGACAACGTCACGAGGCCTTACTCATGATTTATCTCTTGAACGAATCAACCGATTTTGACCGGATTGGCGGCAATCGACGTGGTTTTTTAAGGTTGAGAGCTGATTAGTTTTTGAAATCGATCGGTAGAGCCGTTTAAAAGTTATTCCAAAAAAACCACTTCTGAAAAAAATTTTTTTCCTATTTTTTTAGAGATTTCTTTAAATTTCTCAAAATCTATCGGTCCAAATCGGTTCAAATTTTCAGGAAATCTAAGTTTAGTGAAGCCCTTTCGAATGGCACCAACTGCGATGAAATCGGTTCAACCGTTCAAAAATTATAAGAGGTTTACATACTTACACACACATACATACAGACATAGTGACACCCTCGCAGGAATAGTCAGGGAAGCTTCCTAGGACCTTAAAACGTCGAGATCTGATAAAAACTCGATTTTCGAAAAACGGGGTAAAACCAATAACTTCCCGATTTTTGAAAATCTGAGATTTTTAGCGGGAAAATAAAAAGGTTATTTTTCAATCAAATATATTTTTAATTAGAGTTTAGAGGCGATGTTACTACAAATATTCCTATCAGTATTTAAAAATTATGAAATAATTTAATGTGCATTGACTCTGGGCGTCAATGCAGTCGAAATGGGTTATTTTTCAAACAAATTTACTCCAAATTGGTGTTTCAAGGCGATAATACTAAAAAAAAGTCTCATCAGTATTGAAATATTACAAAAAATACTATATGCATTGATTTCGAGTGTTAATACATCTAAAAAACATTATTTTTCATACAAAGGCACTCTAAATTGAAATTTCTTTGAGATATCACGACAAATATTTTTATTAGTGTTTAAATATGGAGAAAAATAATCATGTGCATTAATTTTGAGCGTCAATGCAATGTAATTACGAATTTTTGTATAAAGTATTTCTTAGTTGTAATTTTAACGTGACATAACAACTAACATTCTTCATTATCAAGCATATGCGTTGATTTTGAGTGTCAATGCAGTTCAAAAAATGTCATTTATCAATCAAATACATTCCTAATTGGAGTTTATAGGCGATGTTCCTATCAGTATTGAAAAATTAAGGAATAATTTCATGCGCATTGACTCTGAGCGTAAATGCAATCTAAAAATATTATTTACACTGATTTCAAGTGTCAATGCAGTTCAAAAAACGTTATTTTCTGTACAAATATACTCTAAATTAAAACTTCAACGCAAGTATAATAATATTGCGTCTCATTATAAAAATCTATTATCATCATCATTCCTTCGACAGTATGCAAATTTTTCACGTGTGTATTCCGAGCAAGAAATAATTTACATAATCCACGTTGAAAGTAATTAATTTCCGGAGAATTCTGCGTGACGCTTACATTTCAATCCTCGGCAATAATCATAAATAATTATGCTGATAATATTTTTCATTTATTATATTACATCAAAAATTCAAAGGCATATTTGAAGTTTCATCAATCGACACTATATTATATATTATAACTCGATTTTGCGGTTCTAGTTAACCAGTTGCAAATGTATCGATGGGCTTTCTGTTTCCGCTTCAAAGTTCAAAACTATTACCGACATTTTAGTAACTAAACGAAAAAAAAGTCCTGTATCTTTTGCATTAAAATATCATTAGTAGACTTCGTCAGAAAATTTTTCATTTTATTTTTAACGTATTTTACGAAAGTTGATAAATCGAAATAAAAGTTTTTTATTTTTTAATTTTCACAAGAGGTAGTCACATAAATCGATATATGTGCATCTCGCCAATATTCTCTATAGGCTACATGTTAAATTTCAATTTTTTAATAATTTATTTAACGATAACCCTTCGTCAGATCTATTCCAAAAAATTAATTTAGATGTATGTAATAGCAATTCACAACATATCAAAAAATTAGCTTTCTATCTATGCAAGTGCATCGATGTCTAAACAACCTTAAATTTACCTATGTACTGATTACTTTAAATTAAATTAAATTAAATTTTAACATCCCTTTCTGCCAATTGAGCTGTTAAATTTATTTTTTTTTATCTGACGCATTTTTCCGGCTCGACAAATCGATTACTCTATTATTTTGAAAATAGCTTTTTTATTTTAGAAATAACTTATTTATTTTTTACTCCCTATAATAATAAATCCATAAATATAAATTAAAAAAAGAAAAAAATAGTTGCTTATCAGAGTTTTAAAATAATTGCTTTTATTCTTGTTTTTGTCCCCACAAAACTTTCTTCCCCTAAATATATAAAAAGCTATTTTTCTTCTTCGAATCTTTTAGCATTTAATTTAAATATGTCGCTAAAGGATTTAGTTCAATGATAAATATCTAACTTTATATTTTAATATCGCTATATTGAACAAAAAAATGTATCGAAAATTATTTGTATGTATATTTACATAAAAGTGAGTACAAAAAGTGAAAGGTGAAATCATTTTCTTTTCGTTGTCAATATGAAAGTCATACAATTGATATTCATGACATTTTTATATTTTATTTTATTGTTATACAGGTTGTCGCAATCGGAATCTGAATCGGAACGTATATTATTTCTTCAAAATAGAATCCACGAGCGCACTCTTTTTTACTGTTATCATTATTATCGCTTTATTTCAATATTTTATTATGAAATAAATATATAATACAAATACACAATACACAATTATTTAGAGTCGCTTTTATTTTGTACGATTGCAAAAGTTTTCTATTTTTACTGTAGTTTACATTTTTTTATTCTGTGATTTTACGTTTGTTTACATAAATAATGGTAGCGATGATTACACCGAGCGGTAATATTACGATTTTAGACTACATTGACGTTCAAAATCAATGTATGTACTATTTTGTTATCATAATCATTAAAAAGAGTGATATCTAATAATTTTATAGAGTAAGAATTTTAATTAACATTGTATTTAAACTAGCTATGGTTTTTATACTACATTGCCACTCGAAATCAATGCATTTACTACTTTTGTTATCAATTACATCTGTTAGGATAATGATCAAGGATTTTGTGGAGTGGCGAATTGAATTAACAATGTATTTAGGGCAGTTATGATTTTTTATACTACATTGACGCTCGAAATCAATGCATTTATTATTTTTATTATCAATTTCAGTTGTTGGGATAATATTAATTAATTTTATGGAGTGGCAATTTGAATTAGAAATCCATTTGAGCTAGCTATTGCGTTTTTAGACTGCATTGACGCTCAAAATCAATGCATATAGTATTTTACTAGCTATTTTTATAAGTTAAAGTCATTTTTAGAAGTTTAATCAAGTACAATTTTCAATTGATGTATATCTAAGCCGACTATGGCGTTTTAGGCTGTATTGACGCTCAAAATCAATGCATGTACCATTTTGTTATCATGATCATTAAATAGGGTGATATTTAGGAAATTTATAAAGTGGAAATTTAAATTCATAAATTATTTAAACTATCTATGGTTTTTATACTACATATTGACACTCAAAATCAATGCATTTACTATTTTTATTATCAATTTCATTTATTATCAATCTCTTAGGATAATGTTGAAGAGTTTTGTGGAGTAGTAAATTAAATTAACAATTTAGTTAAGCTAGTTGTGGGTTTTTCTACTACATTAACACTCAAAATCAATGCATATAGCATTTTAGTAACTATTTTTATGAGTTAGAGTGATTTTCGGAAGTTTGCCCAAGTAAAATTTTCAATTAAATTAATGATGTAATTAAGCCAACTATGACGTTTTAGGCTGCATTGACGCTCATAATCAATGTAATCGTGAGTTCATGCATCGTTCGTAATATTTGCTAATAGTTTCACATTGAAATACAAATTAAGAGTGGATATGTACTATAAACTACTTTTCGACTGCATTGACGCTCAAGATCAATGTATTTTTTCCATTTAGATCCTAATTAACAATATTTGTTGACAGTATTGTCTAAATTCAAATAAAAAGGCTCTTGAAACTTCTAATGACGTTTTGGACTGCATTGACACTCTAAATCAATTCAATCGTTTGTCAATACTTCGATAAGTAGAATTGTTAATTATAATAAATAATAACGTATTGAAGTTTCAAGTTAAAATTTTTTTATAGTAATGATGACATTTTGGATTACATTGACACTCAAAATCAAAATACTTATTTTTGGCAATATCTCCGGATCTATTTACCCGATTTTGATAAAATTTTAATAATATTAATTTTAATTTTCATATAATAATAATAATAATAATAATAATAATACAATTTATAAGTAACTAAAAATATCGAAAAAACTTAGTTTATTTTTATTCCTCAATTTCCTTCTTCACTTCACTTCATAATTTGAGTCGTCAATTTGCGGAAAGCTCAACAGCACGTTAAATAATAATCTAACTTTATTGACTGAATCAACTCCCTTCTACGTACAAATACCATTACAAGTACAAGAAGATATAACAAATATAAAACGAAAAAAAAAAACCCCGATATAATCATAATGATAATAATTTCTTTACATTATTAAGCCCAGTAATTCCCTCAAAGTATTCATTTTCATCATCTACAATATACTTGTTACCTTCAAAGGCTAACTACATAAAGTTCAGGTCATTGAACGGTCAAAGTAATACCAAGTATTATTATATTTTATAATTAATTTCTTATAAATTAATGTCAAGTTATTTACATGTATGTACATCCAACATTATTTACGGAATAATATTTTATTAAATTCTTTTCTTGACATTTAAATGTTAATTTAATCAATCACAATTTTCCGTACAATAAATTTAATATCAGACAAAAAAATCTTGAATTTTCTCAAGTTTGGGTTCTGTAAATATTGTACCGCAACGAATGAATTATTTATATCTGAGTAAATAAATAGAAAAACTGAATTTTTATTATTATTATTGATTTTTTTACGTTAAAATATATTGCAAAGGAATTGCAATTAAAAATATTAAACCAAATATTTTCTTGATATAAAAAATTTATGACTATGCAAATAAAAATTTAATGCAATAAAATGAAAAGAAAAATTTTATTTAGAAAATTGAATTTGCATATTAATATAACATACCTGCTCATTTGCCAAGACGCATAAAGTATAGGGGTTGCGACTGTGGGGGTGAATCCAAGCCAAACAAATATCGTGTAAGTAATGTCAAAGTGACCTTCATTCTCCGCGGTTTCCACAAGGGCCAATTTTGCGAGTCTAGAAACAGAAATATAATAAAAATGTTTGTGTTCCAAATTTACTAAGTGGTTTCATTCATTTTAATTTAATATTTATTAAAATATGAGCTGACGAAATAAAATACTCATCATTAGTAATATCCTTTTGTATACGAGACATAGAAAAGCTTTTATTTCTAACGAAGAACGAATATTTTTCTTCCTCGTCTTCTGCTTTTTTACGTAAATGTTGATTTTCTTATTCTATGCTTCTAAAAATCAATAATTGAATAAAAATAACGATAATTCACTCTTTTCTAGCGTAAGATCGATTGTACGAAGGTAGAATTTAAATCTGAGGTGCCGTTATACGGGTAATTGCAATTTTGCACTGCATTGACACTCAAAATCAATGTAAATGATGAAGGTAAACATGTTAATAGGTAATATTTTTTGTTCGTAAAAGCAAGCAGAAATTAAAATTAAATGTGTCTGTAAAATATGCATGCCTCAAGCGCTTGTGTTAAACACAAATTTTGCACGCCTCATAAGCGAAGCGGATGAGGTAGCCCTGATTTAAAAAAAGTATTGAACCATGCAACTGTATATCTATATTGTATGTATATATAGATATACAGTGTGTGAAAAGTATTGAAAAAGTATTGAATTACATACTTTTTCAATACTTTTCAATACTTTTTTTTAATCAGGGAGTGCTCTACTCTGGTCTTACAAAAATCAAGTGATTTTTTTAACTAAAATTGTCTCTATTTATTTTCTATTTTACTTGTAGAATAATATTTACACATAAATGTCAGGGAAAAAAACTAGTTTTAACATTTATGACATTTTTAAAAGACATTTTGCTTTTTAAATAAATAAAAAAAATGTTTAAAAAAATTATTCCGTGGACGTCCGTGTGTCTGATGTATGTATGGAAACTGGCGTGGTCACGATAACTGCCGAAAAACTTAACTGATCAAGTCCATTTTTTTTTATACGCTTCAGTATTATCCAAAACTAAGTCCTTTCGAAGATCACGGTCTAATTCAATGTAGTTTAATTATAATTAGCAATTAACTAAAATCCACTTGTCGTTTGTATATCTATATCTATGTAAATAAGGTTCGTTTACAACACATGCGCAGTACCTTTCTTTTCTAGGTGGACAATGGCGCGAAAGATTTGAAAGTATTTGTATTTTATTTTGATTAATTTTATTATGGAAAATAAGATTATGAGGCGTGCACTTTTGGATTTTCCAAACTTTTTAATTCTATCGATTGTACTAAGGTAAAATTTGAATCTGAGATGCCGTTGTACCAGAAATTACATTTTTACTGCATTGACACTTAAAATCAATGTAGTTTGTGGAGTAAACATTTCAATAGGTAATATTTTCACTCAATAGCGTGTAAAAATCAAAATTGATAATATACATGAGATATTTTTGGCAATTTTACTACATTGACACTTGAAATCAATTTAGTTTCTTAAATTGACAATTTAATAAGTAAAATTTGATCGTAATGGCAATAAAATGAAGTGAAATGTATCTTTATACTAATTTAAACATTCTTATCCTCATTGACATTCAAAATTAATTCATCCATGTAATAAACATCTTTGGTAATTATATTTGTTAGCAATATCAAGCAAAATTTGAAATTGAATGACAATCAGCGGGCTTTGGTATTTTAAGACTGCATTGACGCTCAAAATCAATTCACTATGTTCAACAAATTTATTTCCAAGGACTATTATGCAGTAATAATAATAGTAAACCAGCATAAAGTTGTATTTGCACAATTAATGCCTGCATTGACGCTCTGAATCAATGCAGTATATTTACTAATCGGCTCAATGCAAAAATTTGTTAATCACAGCAAGTAGGAATTAAAACTGACGATATTTTTTTCACGACTTTTTGCATTTTATCTTGCATTGACTCCCAGAGTCAATGCATTCATTATTTGTCAATATCTCTGAACCTACTCGTCCGATTTTTCTGAAATATTGATACGTTTTAAACCAACAATAAAAATATAAATAACGAAAAATAATAACAGTTAATAATAAAAATAAGATAAAATTTTACGATAATAATTATCAAAGCGTATAGCAATTAAATATAAAAAAAGCGAAAGAAAATGAAGAAAAATAACATCGTCGTTACAGAAATCGAATCACCCTGACGGATAAAACTAAAATTCACGGTAAGCGTCTCGAGTTTTTCTTCGTAATAATAATAAAATAAAACCCGGAGGATAAAAAAAAAATAATACCATCAAGAGAATCACAATAAATCTTTTTTCGTTCATTATTTTCCGCTGAAAGATTGATCTGCGGTACCCATGAATTTTATATCCATTATTAACGTTTTCATTATTTTTTTTTACTCTCTAAAAAAAAAACTTACTTCAACACCATTAGCGGACAGAGCAAAATTGCGTAATAGGACACCATGAAGATAAGATATTTTTGCGAGCGTATTTCTTTAGCAACATCTATTTCTGGATCGTAAGTGTTAGTTGTAAATGCGGATAATCCGGCTGTAGCGGTTGTTGTTGTCAAACTTCCGCTTCTACATTTTGTGTCTCGGTATGGCCTATAATAACAGAAAAATGTAAACATTAACCATAAATATTATCACAATCTTAAGATTAAAATAACACTTGGGTAAATATTTTCGGTTATGAATTTATCTCAATTTATAAAATCAATGTTTATATTTATTTAACCTAGTTAAAGAAATTTTTCTGCATAGAAATATTGTTTGTAAGCATTTATAATAAAAATCGCTTTAAAACATAAAAGTGATTTTATTAAAAACCTTTTGAGGCTGCATTGACATTCGAAATTAATGCAATGGCATGCAATGGCAGTTAGTGTCTCAACCAATGATATTTGTTAAAATTCTAATTGAACGTTTTTACCCAAAAATAAAGTATTTTTAACTGCATTGACGCTTAAGATTAGTGCATTTCTTAGTTCATGACTTAATTCGTAATACTTCTTCTTAATTAGGCGTTCAAATTCACATTGAACAAGTTTTTATACTAAAACTGACGTTTTTATACTGCTTTGACACTCAAAATTAATGCAATAACTGTCAGTGTCATCACTAGTCATACTTGTTAATAATGTCGCGTTAAAATTTGTCTAAGGGTTTTTATTCCCTGTGTGCGTCCCTCCCTGCGCTTAAAATTTGGCAACAGATCCACACTCGATGTGTGTCTCAATTTACTATTTTGTATTTATTTATTAATGTATTTATAATTTATTATTACTATTATTAGTATTATTATTTATACTTGAAATTTTTAATATTATTGTTTATAACTTAAGAATTAATTTTACATTTGTTTCAGATATTTACAATGAATTATTTGTAATTCATTATTATCATTATTATTATTATTTGTATGTATCGCCGTAAATCATAGTTATAGTACCTGGTTTTATTATCATAGCCTTTACTCGCACGGGTGAAGTCCTGTATTATCGATCGCGAGCTAAAGGTTTATTAAATTTGGGAAAATGGCTAAAGAGGCCCTCGTGGTCGAACACGAGGCTTCGAACGTTTTACGGTGACGTAGATTGAATAGACATGCAGTGACCCGCTTGGTGTGAGGAAAACACGTGGGACCTCCGCTATTGTAAGGAGTGTGGATTTGGTGCCTTGGGTTGAGTTTCCTTTTTCGGTGAGTACTCACAAGTTGAGCCATTTTGTTATCCGTACACCGCTGTCTCCTGGCTCAGATAATTCATTTTTATTGTTAAATTAAATTCACTATCGATTAATCGGATCGATCCCGTAGCGAGTAAGGGTTATTATTGGAAATATTTGTACCTGTCCTGAAAGCCGCGTGTTGGGTCCTCGATACGGCCAGCAATTTTTAATTAAGACATTACGTCATAGTTCATTATTGCGATTATTATTTTTAGTTTGATTTACGAATGACGTTAGTTATCAAAGCAGTTATTGCTTAGCGTTATTTACAATTATTAATATTAAATATTTATTATTACTGTAAGTGCTATTTTCGAGCGCAGAATAAATTGAATAGTATTGAGTTTTAATCATTGTTATAATTATTGTTTTCATTGCGACTATTATTATTCTCGAACGCAATATTATAAATTAAGTTAAAGAAAAAGTTGTATGTATTAATCAGAATTCCATAAAGGATTTATTTTGTTATTTAGAAAAGATATTTAGTTTAAGTAACAACGTTTATAAATAAATAATTTATTTTTATTAATATTTACCGATTTAATAATAATTTATTTTATGTAAGTTAATTCCCGGAATCTTTTCCTGCGATTTACATTCCTATTTAATTAAATAATTTGAGGTACTATTTATAATTAGGTACTTATTATTTCTGATTATAAATTATATATTAATCCTAACTGTAAGTGTTTCGTGATTTATTTTCCATTCGCATTAATTTAGATCGTTAATTGATCGTCCGGCGAGGCCCCTCGAATTTCGGTTATTTTTTGGTAATTTTAGAAAAATTACCTGGCGTCCTTTCGTGCACTAACCCAGCCTGAGGAGTTTCGGGTTCATTTTATTATTATTAATTTAGAAGGGCGAGCGTAAAAACTTTACCCAGACGGTATCTCCGCCTCCGGTGAAAATTTGTTTAAATTTTCGGAAACAGTTTTGTTCCACAT